AAATGCTATCCTGCTTAGTAAAAAAAAAAAGAAAGCATGTTTATATGATACAAAGTTCGAACAGTAGAAATAATTCTTCATAAATGAAAATTTGAACTAGAAAAAAACTTAAATTTTAATGTATTTTTCTATACAAATTACCTTATTCATAAATTTATTGTCTGTTGAATTTCTTATCATTGATGAAGAATAAAATTGTATTATAACGAAGTGAAAAATACACACTCTTTAACTAATTCATCTTTCCTCGTCTTTCTTTATTCAAAATAACCCTTCTTGTTTTTTTTTGTATGTCTCTGTCCTTTACGTTTTTTTTCTCTTTTCTCTGTTGCTATTACTATTATTAGTTGTTCTTTACCGTTTGCGCGAACAAGAACGAAGAGAAACGATACTTATATTGACTATCACCAACCAATAGAAGACAACCAGTTGATGCTCGATCAATAGCAATTGGTTGATTATTCTGTTTTTTTTTCAAGAGTGTAAGAATATATTGATGTATTACACAAAAAAAGTTTGATCAAGGCACTAAAAAATGAAAAGAAAACTTAAGAACATTTAAATAATTGTTAGGATTGAAAATTTTGTAAAGCAATCTCGAATATTGACTGATTCCTAAGAGACTTTCACATATAATAATGATTTCATAACAAGTTTTTATTTTTTCGTCATATGAATAAGAACGCGTGTTAAAAAATCAAGTATAAATTTTAATCGATTTTTTTTGATGATTTGTCTGTTAAAATCACTCTTCTAAAAATAATTGTGTCTACTCTAGTTAAAAATCATCTCATTGTATCGATATGCTATGAACAATCACATACGCTTCACATGGGTACTCTATAACCCACTCGAAAAATTCTACTTAGTAACAGATAATTTTCTATTAACAAAACAAAAAAAAACGGATATATATATTGGTATAATTTAGTAGGCTTCAAACTCGAGATTATCTAGTTTCGAGTGAACGTGCAGGGTAAGCTTTTTCCGTATCCTGTACTATGACTGACAAAAAACTTTCTAACCCTTGCTGTAGTTTTTATCTCACTCCCCCCTTAATCCTACCCTGATTGGAAGACTCTAAACATGATCAATAGTAATACATTAGAGATATGCAGGATGAAGCCTGCTGCGTTGGCCTCAGATCTAGATCTGAACATTTTTCGTTAATTGAATCCGGGTTCGGAAATTTTGGACTCGGTGGACTATAGTCGTTTGAGAAATATGTAGGATGCACTAGTTATCAAATACAATAAACCGGAGAAAATTAACTGCTATATTCCGCGTGACTATCCAATTCCGATTAGAAAGTCCCAGTCCGAAAATTCTGCACCCGACGGTGCCCTAGTGTAAGGCAAACTGTAACCGCACCCTATATTCTGACCGAGAAAATTTTTGTAACCTGTAGGTTACACTTCTCTAACATATACATCATTAATGTTGTATAAGTAAAATTTCTCGTCAGAAGTTTTATCCTAAAATTTGTTGTCTTGTTTACATGAGATATTTTTATATTTTTGTCAGAATTTCTCGTCAGAATTATGGATTTTTTGATGTATAATATTAAATATTGAAAGTAATTTATTAAATAAAAATGATTCGATACTTTTGTAAAAATATTGTTTTCAATAGAACAAATATTTTATACAGATCAACAAAAAGAAAAATGATATTTACTTTTTAATACGAACATAATATTTGATTTCAAATTACAACAAAAAGTAAAAGAAAACATAGTATACGAAAGAAAGGGTTCATTCTGTAATAGTAAACTGTCAGATATTGTTCTTCTTTTTTTCTGTTTTAACTGATGTCATTTATTCGAATCTAATTTATTTTTCATTCAATAGAATATTTCTATTTCTGCGCACAATTTTATTTTATAGATCGATTATTAAATCAAATATATCATCTATAATTATTATTTTACTTTGTTTGTTTCTATATATATATCAATTCTTAAAATGGACTTAAAACCCGATATGTTATCAGTTGTCATTAAGAATATGTCATAATAGATAATAACTATGTAAAAAAATTTTGAATAGGTTTTTTTGTTTTTATTGATTTAAGAAATATATTGTCGATTTTGTTTGTCAATAAATACAAAGAAAAAAATGGACAGCAAAAAGATAATATAATATTGGAATAAAATTCACTATATGATTGTTTATGTGTTTTTTCTTTTGACTTACTTTTATTTTTTGTTATTGATAATATTAACTTTTGTTTTTATTTTCAATTTATCAATTGATAGTATCAGCAATTTTTTGGTTGTTTGACAAATACACTATGTTAACATTGAATATATAAGACTGCAAATGTAATCATATTCTCTATTGTTGTTATTCTGTGCACTCAGCGAAAGAGAGAGAGAGAACTACCGACTGCTGATTGCGTTCTGTCACAATGCTGAAAGCTCGTCTGTTTCTCTCAACGCCTTTATACTAGCAGTACCCAGCAACAACAAGAACCCTTCGTCTCTTGTTTTTTTTTTCTCTCTCTCTCTCTTTCATACCCCCGTGTTACTGCTTTGGCCGTCGACGGATAGACAGAAAACATTTTATGCTTCTATATGTAACTTGGTTGTTTTCGTCTTTCTCTCTCTCTCTTTTTTTTTCTTTTTCTTTGCTGTATGTTTTTTTTTTCTCTCTCTTTTTAAGCATCAAAAAAAGAACTGGTTTGCCTTGACATAGCATCTGCCTGAAGAGAAAGATTCGTAATTTAATCATATTCGCCTCTTTTTTTTTTCCTTCGCTCTTCATTCTGTTTTTTTCTTTGCTTTCTCTCATCATCAATTGTGTTATTACAGAAAAACATATGTTAAGAGATAGATCTTAGGCTAAGGACATCTATGGACTTGACGTTGTTCTTCTTCAAACGACAACACGTACATAAACAAACTATATATACATATATTGTTGTTTGGAAAATAACCTAAGAAGCTACATCAAAGTAACTAATTCGTCTTCTTCGGCCTGCTGATCGAGTTCTTTTTTTCTCATTTGCATGACAATGACAAAAATAATAATGTATAGAAAAAAAAAAAAATGAAACAATTTTCCTCTCTTGCTTGTTTGCGTCGCTTTGACGACATTGACTAGGACAAAAAATATCTGCGTGCTGCGGTAAATGATGAAGAAAAAAAACAAAAAACGAGGTACACAGCTGCATGTAACATATGTTTTTTTTCCTCTTCTTGTTCTTATTTTCTTTTTTTTTTCCGAATAGATATTATTCTATCGACTATGTGTAGTTATTTGTTGCGTTTGTAATTATTGAAAAAAAAAAAAAAGTGGTTATTAATAAAAAGAAATAAGTCATGTATTAAGATTGACAAAAAAAAAAAAGAAAAAACCAATATGATGTTGATGTTATATATCACATTGATCGCAATTATAAATAATAGTGTTTTCATTAAAATAATTGTATAAGATTAATTAAAATATGAGTAATAAATGAAATCAGTCTTTTTTTTTTTCTTTATTTCTCAATTCATAAAGAAAAAAAAATGCTATTTATCATGTCTGTCTTTGAAAGATAATTCTTAAAGAAGTCAATTCTTAAGTATGATAACTCATCTTGTTCAAGATGTATAAACTATTTTAGTTCATTAAACATTAATTATTACAAAGAACACTTTTATTAACATAATTTGTTTTATCATATATATTGCATTTTAGACATGTTTATAATGTTATGTAAAAATGGATGTCAAAAAAAAAAAAAAATAGAACCAGCAATTAATATTCAGTCAGTTACTTTGATAATTTTGATTGAAATGTTAAAAAATATTTTCATTTTCTTGTAGTAGTTTAACATAAAAATAATTTGTTATAAAACTAAATTAGTGTTATGAATGAAGAGACTTTTAAATACATGATAAACAAAAAATTATTATCTACTGTTGATGACAAATAAAAAAGTGTTTTAGTTATTTTTAAAATAATTTTTACATAGAACAATGATTGTAACAAAATATCAAGACATGGTGAACTTCATAAAATATTTTTGAATATATTCCTGAAAAACTTCAATTACATTTTATTTTTCATAATATAGTATCGTACATCAAGATGATGATATTTGATGAGTATTCTATTGAAAAGAATTTCATATTAAAGAGTCTAATATGGATCAAATGAATATATAAATAATAATGATGTACTTTCAATTCAATAATGGATGAACGTATTAGATAAACAAATTCATGATAATTTCCTATATAACTACAACATCACAAAAATAATATTGATTTAAATTAAAAACGTTAAGTTTCTATCATAAGTTTTATTTAATAACAATTCATTGAATATTTTTTTTTTAATTTTCATGTCCGTACTTCTAATTGATAATTTTACGAATGCATGATATGAATAACAAAAAAAAAAACAAGAGAGATTTTCTATTATAATCCAATAATCGACAACAAATTACTTGCTTGCCAAACATTTTGATCATATGAAAAGAAAAACAAATTATTGTTTTGTTTTTTTTTTAAGGAAAAAAAATATATAAGACAACTTGCTATTAATAATAATTATTTTTTATGTATGTTATCTGATAAATACATAGTAGACAAGAGCGGCAACATATTAATCTTTTAGATGTATACGATTATAGAAAATAAAGATCTACGATTTATAAAAATTAATTTGTATCATTATTTGATGAATAAATTTTATTTAGAATGCATAAAGAAACACTTGCAATGTATTACTTTACGAAAAAAGGTAAAGATCAGAATAGATACAAAAAACAAACGACTAGAGGTACAATGGATTTTTGAATAAACCAATTTAAAAAAAAAATTTAAAAATATAAATAAAATCTAACCATGCAAAAAATCGTTCTTGGGAAAGAATATAGCATTGCATTTAGGATAAAGGAATAAATTTGATCTAAATAGGCACCTATTTGAATAGTTCAATGTGATTTGATTAAAATTATTATATAAAAGTTTAATTGTCTTTTTCATAATTATCTTCTATGAGATGAAGTCATGGCGCATTTGCTTCTGAATGCTTTAAATCCATCCTTTGTGGAGGAATTTTAGGTAATGGTTTTCTTGAATGTTTTATTTCTTCATTAATAACATTTGATGATTCCATATTAGTTGATGAAGATGGTCGTTGATAACGTTGTTCACTCTAAGTATACTCATAAAATAATAATTAATTTTGGAATAAAAACCTATAGGCAATTATAAGCTACGCATTATGTTTAAGCAAAAGCAAATGAACTAAAGTAACATAGAATAATAATAAAACCAATCGGATTGGTTTTTTTATTCTTCACAACAGAAAAAAAGGTATAAATACGCACCCACACCCACACACACACACACAAACAATATAGACTAGCACGACTAGAAAAACAGACGCAAGAAAGAACAAACAAAATGAAACCAGGATTGTGAGTATATATATATATATATATTAATATCATTCTCAATAGGATAAAGAAGAAGAAGCATGTGTTTATACAAAGTGCACATTATTTTATTCGTCACATTCATAATAAAATACCTCATGATGATCACGTATTGGTTGTGAAGATTTGTTTCCTTGAAAAAGATTTTTTTTTTGTTCAAAAGATTTTGCTTCAAGATAAGGATTTAATATATCACCTTTAATATCATTATTATTTTTTCCTAAAGCTAAAGCTGTTTGTTGTTGTTGTTCTTTAATTTCTTCATAAAAATTATCAATATCTGTATTTGTTACATTCGTACGAGATTGTATTTGATTAATTGGTTTAATAAGAGATTCACGATCTGATTGACCATCATTCATTTGATGTATTATTATTGATGATGTTGTTGATGAAGCTGAATTTGGTCGATTATGATTATTAACTATTAATGATGATGATGGAAGAATTGTTGGTGATGATGATGTTAAATATGGTTGTTCAATTTGAAGATCTTTTCCATGATGATGATGATGAGTTGGTGATATTGTTGGTGTATTAAGTCGTTGACGATGATCATCTTCACTTTTTAAATATCGACGAGCACGTATTTGACGACGTCTATAATTAATTATTATAAATTTTTAATGATAATTAAAAACAAAAAAAAAACAATACTCACTTGACGATTCGATGTACAATAAATATAATAGCTATAAGAATAAGAACAAAAAGAAGACCAATTGCACATCCAATAATAATTCCTATACAAGAAAAAAAAATAGATACTAATAGTTTGATTCAAATAAAACAATTTACTATTTGAAAAAAAAAAGAAAATATTTTTTCAGTTCATGTTGTTTAAACTAGAAAAAAAATTTTTAGCCAAAATTCGATTTATAATGCAACGTTCTATATCATTTATGAAATTATCTATAGCAAGTTCTAATATCAAAATTTAGTTAAGATCTATAAAATTCACTATTTCTCATTGAATTAATTCAAAATATTTATTTTATATAAAAACAATTATAGTTCTTTTTCAAACAAAATAAAGATTTCTAAATTTGTCTGCATAGCAGAATGTTGATAGGCTTGTAGAGAAAGACTTTTTCTATCTCACAGTGTGTATACATTATTAACTCCTACTGTGTACTGTTGACATGTCACTGGGTGGTGCCATCCAGTGACATGTCAACAGTATGCAGTAGAACTTAATAATAGATACACTGTGTGATAGACTTTCTACACTCGCCTTTGTTTCATTCGAAAATAAATAATCTGTAATATTTATAGTGTCAGAAAAGTTTAAGTGAATAATTCTTAAATATCTCGAGCGATACATATATATATAGTTTTGTGTATGGCTAAATTTGAGTCATTTATATCCCGATCGGAAAATCCTAGGAACTTAGAAGCATAAATCCAATGATCGATTGTGCTCGGAACTAGAAAAATCCAGCTGCTAAATTCATGCTTCCAAGCTTCTATCATTTTCCGGCCGGAAATTTACGAATGTGGGATACCGGAATCATTAATTCGAGTCGCTGTGCAAGGAAAAAATACAAGTCGAATCTAGACTAGAGACGTTTTTCAACGTTTTTGTGAAATCGGTATAAAAATAAATGGGTAACACTTTAAAAGAGCCTGAAAAATTACAGACGAAAAAATCGATGAAGTTTACAATGATTGAATGATCGAGTTGTTCATTTCATAAATAACAGAACATCGAAGTAAGACTAAAAATGCTACAATTAGTTCAACAGCTTTACAAAGAAAATTCATAAGATCGAATTGAAATTATATCACCTTGATACGAACATTAGAGAACATGAACAATCAGAACAATTCATTTTTTTTTTCTTGGACAAAGTCTTTTTTCATTTAAATGGTTTATTAATAAATATAAAGTGAAAGCGTATGTATCAGACTTTTTCCTATTGATCAAGTCTTTTAACTACCTATATCACACTACTGCTATATTCAAAAGAACTGATGGTATACTATAATCCGATGAATTAAAAGCCCGAATGAAAATTTGTTCCCGGTCAGAGAATAACTACTGGCTAGTATAGCACACATCACATAGGTAATAAATATTTTCGTAGTGCTATCTTTAATTAATAATCAAAGTCGAAAACATCCGATGTGATTCTTACAGGCAGCTTGAGCGCAATGCATAGGTACGATTTCGATGTAAATCTAACATTTTTCTAAAAGTTCAAAAATATTCATAAGAGTGAGATTTTAAACAAAAAAATCAAGCAGAAGAATTGCGGTTTGTGGTTGATGATAATCATGGTGAATATTTGTTATAAAAACTAATTAAATCGCTTGAATTACATAAACTTTTCGCATGAGTATCCTATATATAAATATTCGACATACTCCAATCTCGTTTTAATAATGTTTTTCCACGTTGATCATCAACATTCGTATGTTTCTGAGGTTCAAGAATAAATGGTGCATATTCTGATAAACGTGAATCAACTAAAATAAATTAATTTTAATTATTATTAAATATTTAGAGAAATGAAAAAAAAACAAAATCACTCCTACTTTGAAAATAAAGTAAAAATTGTCCACCACCAACATGATTTGTTTTTAATTCAAATTGAACTAATTCATCATTATTTTGATTTGTTATATTTATATCAACTAATTCATTACGAACTAATGTTCGTACAGTATTTAATAAATTTATATTTAATTCATGAGAATATTCAAGTGATTTTTCAAGCATAAATAAACGTAAACGTGATTCACGTGGAACAAATAATTGTTTTTTACATGATAAATATTGATCTAATGCTTGAGGATATTTAGGTGAATGTAATAAACCACGATCAATAGATATAAGTTCGGATATTTCTGTTGAACAAATATCAAATCGAGGAAGATCTTCAATTATACCATTACCTATCAAAAACAAGATAAAAAATAGTTGTTAGTATAGTTCTTATAGAATTACAATAAGAAACATGATGCAGCTGTTGTTATTAATCACAAAAGATTGCTTTATTCTATCTATTTTGAAACACATTTCTTCATTATCTTTTTGCTTAATCATCCCGAAATGTAATAAAAAAGCAATTAATGTGTTAGAGCGAGACATGATTGATATACGGTTTGTGATGATTTCTTGCTAGTAGGAAATTACCGGTCCTTCCAGATTCAGCTCCGGATCCATAAAAATATGGACCCGCAGTTCTCAACATTGATTGCATAGAATACATTCTTGCTTAATCTCGTTCACATAAATACAACTAAAACTATTCCACATAGCCGAAGGTTTTAGTGTTACTGTTGGTTTAACAAATTTTGTTTATCAATCAACTAATCTATTCCCTTTTTTGTTAATATAATGCTCTATTCAACTAACGAAGACGACCTTTTCAACTACTCTCCTTCCGATTCCAATGACTTTTTACCTATGTTCTAATAAAAACCTGAAAAAGATTTGGATTTGAAACTTTGCGCATATACAGACCTTAATTAAATTAACTTCCAGGAAAAAACATTAGAAGTTTTGGAGCTTTCAGAAAGTGCATATCAGAAACACTCTCGATAGAAAAGAGGCTGTCTCTTGAAAGTCTCCTATCTCGAGAAAAAATTTGATAGCTTCGTCAAATTCACATTTATTTTTTTTGGGTTTTTATTAGAACACTATGTAGTATCTATAGGTAAAAAAAATCATTGAAATCGAAAGGGGAAAGTGAACAACAGAGAGTAGTCAATAAAATAACTAAAACTTTGATCCTTCACTTGTTCATATACATAAAAGGTACTAGATATTGGTGGGAAAAAATCGGGTTCAAGTCTACAAAAATGTCGATCTTCAGCTTCTTATTGACTAACGTCTGATGGTCGAAATTTTTTCGTCAACATTCCTTTTAGATTATGTTTCATAAAATATTTTTAAACAATTGTTTTCTTTTTTCATTACTACAAAACAAAAAAATATTAACCTGGTATACATAAATATTCTACCATTGAAAAATTTGATGTCATTCCATATTCACAATCTTTTAATGTTGGCCGTTCATTATATCTGATTTTACATTGATCATCATTCCCATCTTTTAATTGACTATTACAAACATCATAATATGCATTTGGTATATTATAAATACATGTTGTTTGTGTATCTTTATTACATTTAAAACGATTTTTATTATTTATTTCATCTTGTGATGATTTTAAACTAATACCAATTAATGCTTTTGTTATATGTAAACGATAATTTCTTTCACATGATAAATTAATATCACCAACACGTATACGACGTGATGTTGATGATTCACATAAATAATCTTTTTGTTCTTGTATAATAGGTAAACAACGATATTCAATATATAATCTTTTTGTTGTACTACATGTTGAATTAATATGAAAATTTAATGTATTTATATCTATATGACATGTTCGTTTACGATTACATGCAAATAAAACTGTATTTTTATTTTCAATTCGACATAATGTTATACCATTACATGAATTATCATTCGTTGATTCATAATAAACATGTTCAATATCAATAACATAACCGGGTAAACATGATGGAAATGTATTTGATAATTGATTTGTTGAATCTATACATAACCATGATGTTGGATTTGCTTTATATGTGTAAGATATTTGAAAGATAAAGAAGAATAAAATAATCTTAATTAACATGTGACGCAGCTTGATAAATAAACAAAAAAATAAATAAAATGAATGAGAATGAATGAATCAATGAATGAATGAATAATGAGGACTAATCAATATTTTTATTGGAGAAAAAATTTTAACCAATAGACATATTTTTATTGATTACCATAGTAAATAGAATGATAATGGTAGAATGGAAATATTGAAAATCTTTTTTTTTTTTGAATAATCGATATGGAACGAAATATGAATGAATATAGTGAATTATTTTATCATTGTGTACAAGTATTAAATGAATATAATAATAATGTATCAGAAGAAATATTTTTAAAAGAATATTTTAAATTAAATAAAGTAAATTTTTTTTTTCTATTTCATTGGATTTTTATTTGAATAAAAAAAAATTTATTATGATAATAGGTTTCTAATCAATCATTTATATTGACAGTATTAATTGATTGTACACGTCATTCAGAATTACTTCAAACAATAGTAGATATTTTTTATAAAATAAATGGTATTAATATACGAAGATCTGAACAAAATATTTATAAAGGTTTTTGTTTTTTAATTAAGATATTCATTGAAAATATTTAGATATTTATTTTTTTAGTTCTTACTTATATTATTATTTTTCAACTTGATTCTGTTGGTTTGAAACTTTTACGAGGATTTATTTATTCAGTACAGTTATATCAAGTGCATCAGGTGAACATATCAAATTAAGTTTGAATTTTATTAAATTACCAATACTTTCACTGTTCACAACCTTTTGCTTGTTATTCACATGACCACTTTACGTTAAAATTTTCTTATGTACGCATCTAAATTTGACTTTATTTTCCTTAAGTTTTTACAATTTCTTGTAAATGAAGATTATATTTCAATTATCGAAACAGAATGTTTGAAATTATACGACGAAGAATATGTCGATGAAAAAATTCTTCGAATTATTGAAAAGTATATTCTCTATTTTATTTGAATGATCTTTTGTTTCTTTTTTCTTCTTTTAAATAGATATCGTCCAACTTTACGTGGTATTTTACTTGATCTTAATAATAAAATGGAAGGTCGTACAGCAGTACGCCAATTACCAGAACTAACTAAAATCAAACCATTTAATCTTACTGCATCAAAAGAACGAATTATTCCTATGCCAAAAATTGTTAGTAAATAAAATTAATTCGTTTTTTATCTTTCAAATATTTTATATTTAGATACCAAAAATGGAAAAATGTCGACCACCACCAAAATCAACTTATGAATCATCAAAAGAACAAAATGAATTAGAACAAATACGTGAACAAAATCATCAACAGGGTTTATATAAATTAAATCAAACACAATCATTATCCTATCATTTTATGAAAACAGACAAATCAAATAAAACTCAAATTAAACAAACTAAAATTATTGAAGAAAATGAAAAAAATCTTCATTTTGAACAATTTCGAGCTCATCCATCATCAAAATCTCAGGTTTATTGTCTTATTTAATCACTAGCCTTTCTAGAAGAATCACTGATAAAATAATCTTATAGATCAAGTACTAATATCCATTTCAAAATAAAAGAGCCTTGAGTATTTTTTGAATAACTTTTGATAGGAAAGAGATAGAGAGCTGCGATTTTCACCATTCGAAAGAGCGATGTCCGAGTCGTCGATCAGGATAGAACTCATAAAGACAAAAGATGTTTTTTAATAGGCATCTTCTGATCAACATTTTTCCCTTTGCGTATTTTCACAATAATCTCAACACAAATTATGTCAAAATGTAGCACGAATCACACTTTTTTCGCTATAAATTTATGACAGTTTTCATTTTCTCTCAACCTTTTATTGTATGTGGATGTAAAAAAACAATTGTTAATTTTATAACGAAAAAACTGTGATTCGAGCTACATTTTGACATAATTTGTGTTGAGATTATTGTGAAAATACGCAAAGGGAAAAATGTTGATCAGAAGATGCCTATTAAAAAACATCTTTTGTCTTTATGAGTTCTATACCGATCGACGGCTCGGACATCGCTCTTTCGAATGGTGAAAATTGCAGCTCTCTATCTCTTTCCTATCAAAAGTTATTCAAAAAAAACTCAGGGCTCTTTGATTTTGAAATGGACATTAGTTCCATGGTATTGGACTAGTAGAAAAAGAACGGGACAAATGATTGGTGTGTGGGTGGCTATAGGAGTGGATATTCTCTTCACACCCACACCCACCCTACTATATATTTAACGGTAATATGTGTAGACATAGACAAACAAAATTTATATAAGTGAAGGAATAAAAGTCCACCGTAATAATAAAAAAAAATGAACGAATATAAGTCATAGATGTTGTTTAACTTTATCAACTAGTTTTTCTTATAATTAGTTGCAAATGACGTAATATTAAATATAGTAATTTTGTTCATTTTAAGTGACAAGAAAAATAATATATGATTCATTGATTGTTTAATATGCCAAGAAAAACCAATTGCGAAATATTGATTTCTTTTTCGATTCTCAGTGCCATGATAAGAATCTGCCATGAATAAATAGAATATTAATTGTATCTAATTATTAAAATTCATATAATAGAATAATGAATTATTAATAGAAATGTACTAAATTGAATATGATAGCTCTTCACAATCAGTGAGTTGGGGAAAGCTATACTCTCCGACCATGCTATGCTAAATTATATTTGATCAGATTAATCTAATAATAAATAATTATTCCATTGAGTTTGACATATTCATCAGTAAAACGGATCTTTCTCGAGAAAGATCCTAAAGATGATACGTTCTTTCGAATGACAATCAGCGCATCAATTATAACTTGCAGATAATACGTGCCTTTTGATGTGATGAAAGACATTTTTTCTATGTGATTTGTTTTACTTGATCATTGAGAGAAGAAGAATCTCATTTGTATATTAAATTAATAAACTTTAATCTTGTTACGAGTCACGATTGGTTAGTTGTTGTAATAACCGATGATTCAACTCTCCTTAATTGTGAACTATCACAAGGAAGCCAAAGTCGCCAAATGTTAGAGTTCACGTTTACGAAGAACGACGAACAAAGTTAAAGAAAGGTCAAAGAAAAGGGAACAGATAGGATCAAGATGTATGTAGTAAGAATACACCGTAGCACCGGTGACTGAGGATTAAAATAATAATTCAATAACAAAAAAAAAAAAAAGGAACCATTCTGTATCTTTTATTATAGACAAATAAAATTCCAGTTAAATTAAATGTAGCTGCCATACTTAAAGAAAATCAATTATTTAAAAAACAAGAAGAAAATGTTCGTCAACGTTTACTTGATTTTGAAGCTGGTGGAAAAGATGCACATGAATTTTTTCAATGGCAAGAAGCAATGCAAAAACAAGATTATGAACAAGAAATAAATGCTATTGAACGTAAAAGATTAGAAGGAAAAATAAGTTATGAAGAAGCTATACTTGCAAGACAACGTTTAACAGATGAAAATCGACGAATAGCTGATGAAATTAAACGTCAAACACGTGAAGCTATTGAAAATCATGTTAAAGAAAAACTTAAAGAAGAACAAAGAATGAAGTAAATAAATTTATTTTAAAAATTTAACTCAATTTATATTTTATTTAGACAATTAATTGAAGATGTTGTTAATGGACGAGATAATGCAAAAGTTGCACAACAAAAACTTCAACAATATAAAACAGATTTTGTTAAACAATATAAAGAAGAAATAAAACAATTAATGAAACAAGCACTTGAAGAGGTTTGTTTAAATAATTAATCAAAATGTTACAAAATTTTATGTCTTACAAAATTTCAAGTCTAGATTTTAGATTATACAGAAAAGAATAATTTTACATTAGACTGCGAGAAGTTCTTCACTATTCGATTTCATTTGAGTTCAAAGTTTGATTATGATTCAATCCCTATAAATTCTGAAAAACTCGATTTTCGAAAAAATTATATTTTTGAATTTTCTCTTGAAATTACAGTCATTTGAAAGTGTCATATACAGGTAACCTGTAAGAAGATTTTCAGGAGTTGAAGAGCTGTGTACTTTTCAAAAATAGACGCTCGGCGAAACGTAATGAACAATATAAGAATAGTTTGAAAAGTTCATAGCTCGGAGATGCAAAATTTTCAAATTCTCTATCTCTGATGTACTTTCAAGACAAAACTAAAAAACAAAAATTTTTCTGAAAGCCTAGCATCTCTGACAACTAGACATGTTAAAAATTCTATAGTTATGCTAAATCTCAATAGGAATTTAAATCTTTATAGGATTTTGACTATCATCATTGAAATTGGAAGGAGTCATTTAGAGTGATTTCCTCATAGGTGAAGCTACTACGACAAATTTAGGTCGATCGAAAATTCATTACACTAGGGTTTTAAACGTCACATGACGATGATGGTGCTTTGTTACATGTTGTCAAGCACATTCTACCAAATTCTGCATTCGGAAGTCCTAACGTTACTAAACTCGTCGTACTAGCTTCATATGAATTATTGCTAAGGCACCGATCATCACTGTGGGTTCTCTATTTACTGTTGTATTCCTAGTTATTACCTAATATTTTATCAAAAAACAAGTTATATCTTTGTGAAGACAATCCCTTTTAGAGTGCTCTTGATTTTTGCACTCAAAATATAAACACAAACAGAATCTTATAATTCATTACAAATCATATATGATCATTAGTCGTTATGTATGCATATAATTTTTAGTATTATGAAATATTGAACGAATTATAGTTTCAAGATAAAGTAAACACTCAATTAAAAAAATCGATTAAAGTTCATATTTTCTTCTATAATATCTTAAGAAGCCACGTAAGCAAATTGCAAAGAAACCTTTCATAGTATTAAATAACTTATTCGATACTTAATTTATATAAATATCCTTTTCTTTTCAGTATAGGATGAAAATCAAACATAGTTCAAAAAAAAAAAAATGAAATAGTCTTTTTGCATTGTTACAAATGTGATGGGGCGATATCCATAGACTCATGTACTTTAAGCACTATTTCAAATAGAACACTAAACTATGACAATACTTTCTTCTTTATTATCAATAGATCTAAATTCAATACCTTCGAATGTTTCAATTATCCTTTCCTTTCGAATCCTAGATCTGCTTTCTTATTTGAAACAAAAACAAATGTCATTTGTTACAAATATTAGTTCTGTATATTTTAAACATAAAATTTTTTTTTTGTTCTATTAGGCCGAAATAGAAATGCGACAACGTGCTGAATTAATAAAACAAATTCGAACTTTTGAATTATTACCAATCGATCGATGGAAACCTATTGATTTAACATCTGTACCTGGTTATGGTTTACATGATGAAATGTCTCTAGTTGAATTACATGAACGTCTTGAATTAATTAAACTTGAACGAGAAAAAGAACGTGAATTACGTCGTGATCAAATTGTTAAAGAAAAACAAATAAAAGAAAAAATGATAACAAATACAATACAAAATATAGCGAAATATAGAAATGATTTAACAGCACAAGCTATTCTAAAGTAATATATTATTTTATTTAATAAATAAAAGAAAGAAAAAAAAATTTTTTTTGTTTAATTCATAGAAAACAAAGAAATATAAGTGAACCAGTAATTGTTGATAAAAATAATTCAGAACTTCAACAATTAAAAAATCATTTAGAAACAAAAAGAGCTCAACGTTTATCAAGTCAACAACAACGAGAATCTGTTCTATCATCTGGAATATTTTCTAAATCTTATACTTCATTTGTATGTTATATATTTTTCTTTAAGAAAGAATTTTTCTTTTTAAATATTTAGAAATCAAGTATCGAATGGAATCGTTTTGATCAAGTAGAAAAATCTTATGATAAAACACAAAAACGTACTGCACCATCTCTCATTTCATAATAATTTTTAAATATTTTGATATATATATATATATTTTTTTTTTAAATAAATTTTTATTTTTAACTATATAAATTAAAACAATATTAATAAAATTATTTTATAGATTATGGAACGATTACGTCGAAAATTTTTTAAATCAAAAAAATCTATTAAATCAACAATTAATGGTAAGAAATAAATACAATATTTCATTATTATACAATTATTTTCAATAGATCCAAGAAAAAAAGATGATGATGATGAAATCTATCTTGAACCAGAATATGATGAAACTTCAAATATTATTTCAAATTTTGATGCTATTGCCGATGAATTACTCACTATTGCAAAAAAATCAGTATGTACATTAATATAATATAACATCTATATTGGACTAATTTTCAAAAGCAGTTACTGCAAAAAAAAACAAATATCAGCACTATTCAATATCTAAATTCATACAGTTTTTGTGGAAAACACGATCTAAAAGAAGTATTGAAGTAAACATTTGAATTAATGAAGAAAAATATGTTCTAAAATAGATAGAATAAAACAATCGCCTTGGGGATTAGCAATAATAACTACATCATGTTTCACATTTGAATCCCATAGGGATTATGCTAATAGCTTTCTATATATAGATGTAACACAAATTGAACCAACAAAATGTTTCACGAGCTAATAAGATGGTGGCTGATATTATAGTGAAATTTTCAGTTCGATACCATGATGTTTTTTGATGAGATATTTATGAAATTACAGGTCTCAAATGGCAATTCGAAATTATCTGTAGACCTTAGTTTTCAATGAAATAGAGTTCTACACTATGACTTGCTCTTTTAATCAAAAAAGAAAACAAAATCTATGGAATGAAGACTCGTAGAGATTTTTGAGTTGCTATTTTAGACTCTTGTTTGATGAATATTCCATGATCTAAAATTATTTAAATCCATTCGAGTCAGAATTCTAAACGAACTCGACATACTTTATCTTTTTGTGGAATTTGAGATGATCTTCGTTCTTTTTTGTTACTGTTTAAGGAAGAAACTAAACAGTAAACTTTTGAAAACTGTACTATGACTCTGAAAGTATCTGCCGGATATTGATTAGCTTTGATTTGGGTGCGAAAAATCCTACCCGTGCAGAAATTAATTTATTAAAAAAATATCAAGCTGAAATTTTCTAAGATTTTTGTTCTGATGAATAAATCGAACTTAGATTGTAATATATACATGTTCTTTTTTTTTTATTCTAGTCTCATACAATTCGTTTATCAAAAACACGTGATGATCTATTAACTATAAAAACAATGATAACACGAAAATTAACTGAAAATACTAAAGAACTTTATAATGCAAATAAAAAAATTGATTTATTAAAACGACGTTTACATAAACAAGCAATTGATATTGATCATGAAGGTTCATTGAGTACACGATACAATCGTTCTTTAGCAAGCGACCATAGCATGGCCGATGTGAGAATTATTCTCACAACGTAAATAGACGCAGCTTGTGCGTTTAGATTTCTAACAAATATAACAACAAAAAAAAAGGCAACAATAAATCACATACAACTAACTATAAAAAAAAAATTTTCTAAATTAAAAATTTTCAAAATGTTTATTTTTATTATTACTCGTCTTTTTATGATTCTCATTATAGTCAGCATCATGTTATTCAATATGGTCACCAACTAGTAGTATATTAAGTTCATCAATAACAACTCCAACATTTCGTCGACGTTTGGCTGAAGTATCTGTATCAAATATAAATTATTCATCAATAATTCAAGAACATTTTGTTTATTTATATCAACAATTATGTTCAAATTGTTCAAAATGTTCATGTTATCAAACATTTATACGTAATCATATTGAATTAGAATATTTATCAATATGTTCATATAATGAACAATTAAAATGTGAAAATGATTTATTACAACGTCTTTTAGCTGATTGTAAATATTCATATGAACAACAATATGTTTTATTTTGTCAATATGAACAATATTTAATTGAATATGAACAATGTATACAAATTCAATATGAACTTATAAAAACATTTCAACAATTAATTGATCGTTTTCAAATAATATTTGATAAACGAAAACGTGATGATGATAATCATGAAATTCATATTTATCAAAAAATTAATGATGTTACAAATGTAGGAATAAATCAAGATGTAGAAAATGCGTAAGTTTTTTTTTCTCCTTCTAATTTCTACGATAGAAGGAAAAAAAATCATTCAGACCACCTCTGGTGGGGATCGAACCCACGATCTTTGGATTAGAAGTCCAACGCGTTAATCCGCTTCGCCACAGAGGCTCTGTAGTATGTTCCTAAAAATTCAATACCAAAACGATACATTTAAGACTATAGAAGTTTTCTTTTAGAACAATCGAAAAAAAGTTTTTTTTTTTTTATTGATTTAAGTCTACAAGAACTAACTACAAGTTTTATGTATATAAAACTTAACTATTACAAAATAATTTATTCTTGTGAGACCATCTGCTGCTTTTGTAATGCATTTATTTATTCTAATAGAAATACATAGAATAACTACAAGACAACAAGTCTTTCTTTTTCCACTCGGATATCAGCTATCACACGCATAGTCGTGGTCTATAAATTCTTATGTATATACTTCAGCAAGACTAAGGATTAGAGGCATGAGCTCCTCTCCTTGCTTAAATACAACAAAAATTATGAACAATGCTGTTCAAGTATATTAATTTAATTGAGATTTTTCTGGATGTGAATGAAGGAAACATACTCATATCCAAAATGAAATTTTATTGTTCAAATATTCAATACACTATTCATTGAATACAACGTTTAATATTAACAGATTTTATTCTTTCAAATAAACGAATGAATATCCTTTAGAAATTCAACATTAAAGAGTTAATTCAAGATCATTTCATCTACAGTAAAACCTTTCTATGTAAGTGTTTTCTTTATTCTAAGCAATGGACGTTTATTTTGGGTCACATGAATAATAACAACCTCTATCATAGAGGTAACATATGTTTTCTTACTCACGTGCACAGGGACAAAAAAAAATGATGTCACGTGTATTGCATCATGATAAACAATCATGGGACATATAGAAACAGACGGAATCAACTCACCGTCGATATTTAAAACATAAAAAAAAAACAAAAACAATTTTAGACAATAGCAACAGTGCTAAATTTAAAATCTCATCATCTTTTTTGCTAATAATTAATACATGTGTTGATCGATCTCTAATTAAAAAATTTACATTAATTAATTGTTAGAAAGAAGAAAAGAATCGCCCGAAGTTCGTCAATAGAGCTTTCGGTGGTGCGCGCCCTGCATCTATTGAACTCGACAATGCGAGTAGTTATATCATGTTTGATAAATGCTAATCACAACTAACGAGGGAACATCTGGAGAAGTTCTCTCATATGCAGATCTAAAAATTATTGCATTTCTTGGACTTGAAAAAAAAAGATCATTGACTTAGAAAAAAAAAAACAAAAATAATGTTATTTGAAGTATTGTATAAGTTTAAAGTATATGATTCGTACTTTTCTTTTTTTTTTCCTAGTGAACTTTATCGTATGATATCTATTTTACATGAACAATGTCAACGACATTTATCTCAATTACCTAAACGAGCACAATTATTTTCCTATTCACAAGAACAATTTCATCCACCACCGAATATATCTGGTATTGTTGATATAGCTGATCTTGAAATATCAATATTACTTGTTGATTTATTAACATTAAAACATGAAAATAGTGAATTACGTTGGACAAATAATTATTTATTACGTGAAAAAAAAATTTATAAAACAAAAATTGATTTATTAGAATTAACAAATAAATATTTTCGAATAAATAATGAAGATAATTTATTAATAAAAAATTCTAATAATGAACTTATACAACGTGAAAAAACACTTCGTTTATATGTTTATCGTTTATATGATTTACTTCAAATAACATCAAAACAACTTCAAGAACGACAAATTTATTATGAAAATCTTATATATCAATTTAAAATACGTCATAGAGAACTTATTGAATATATAAGACGAATAGAACAAAATAAAAAACATATGAAATAAATTTGTGTGTTTTGTGTGTATTAATTAGAATTTTTTGAAATATTTGATATTTAAAATAATTAATATAACTAATACCGGTCACTGTATTGTAATAAATTAGTATTTTGCACTGTTTGATATAATAAAATAGATATATAACAGTAATTTTATTGTTAAATTTTTCCGTAGATCTTATTAATAATAAATGTTTTTATCGGAGAGAACAAAGTTCTCATCCTATGAGATTTCATTTTCATGAAAGATTCCAGGGTTTGTCTAATGAAACATGGGCTCAAAGTACTTTATCGGTAGGAGCATAATCAGACAATGTTATAGGAGGCACTGACCATGTCTATAAAGAGGGCAATCGTTCGATAATATGCTGACTACGTTGTAAGATGCACCTATGTCCACGGCTAATGTGGTATGAAAAATGTCGAGTTATTGGATTTGCCGCTCGAGAACACTTTTGTAGATGAGAAGATTCCTAACTGTTTAATCGTTTTTCGTTTGAAACTATTGCCATTCGGTCGATCATGATGAGTGGTGAAAAGTTTTGTTTTGATTTGGATACGTTTGCCCTAACTCAAACTAAAGCTTATCTATGGACTAAATTTTAGCTCGAAATTCGATTATTTAAGTTTTCAGCAAATATAACTGATCGAATGGCAATAGTTTCAAACGAAAAGGAATTAGATAGTTGGAAATATTTTTTTGTAAGTACTTTCCGACTTATGTCTGGTTACGGTATTATTTATCGGTACAGTAGATTATAGGATAAATTATATACTGATCATTGGCTTCTCTTATCAGTAGAAATAATTTTTGCTTCTTACTTTTTCATGTAAAAATTTTTAATAATTATTTTATAGAAGTTTAAACAATGAAACAATAAAATTGGTTTTATGGGGTGCTATACACTACTCTCTGAAATAGAAGACTTCCTCTCCTCTAGATGGATCGATGTAAAAGACCTATTAGAAATTTCAGGGCTTCTACTGTGTCCATACAGTTTTCGTTTTTACGAGCAAAAGCTTCGCAAATGCTATTAAATTAATCTTGGTCGGGCGGTGTCTGCGTATAGAAAAATACTTCCCTAGACGTCAAATAGAGTGTAGGTGTGTGCGTCTTCTGTTCGGTAACAACCACACCCAAGTCGTATTAGTAGCTCGCCCTATAATCTTTAAACGCTTGGACATTTTAGAAGCTCCTCGGATGCTTCTATTGTGATGAAGAGTTTATGCTTGCAGTTCGTTGCAATTTTTTTAAATATTTTTCCATCCTGACGTTTAATTATTTAGAGAAAATGCCATGATCATAAGGAGTCAATACAATCTCTACTTCAAATTAATTTTTTTACAAGTTTTGATTTAGATAGACAAACCTCAATAAATCAAACGGACCTTCCGTGATCCTTAGCAATCTGGAATTTGGCCTGCGACGAAATTCCGGTGACTTTTCGATCTGGGCCCAAAGTCATACAAGACTTCTAGTCTAGGCTCAAATTCCTTTCATTAACTTCAATAAAAAATCGAAAGCCTATTGATACTTTTCATAGTGTCCAGCAATCTGCTTTGATCCTATTAGAAGCGGTGTGGTTTTTTTTGTTGAGATAATTGCATGTAATAAATGCCAACATCAAAAACGAAATTCACTTTTAACTAACCTATGGTTTTTTTCTTCATAAAATGTTTTTTTTTAAATATTTATCAAAATTAGAAACACACAACACTACAGATAAGTAATAAGTTTAACAGTAAAACACAAAGAAAAAGAAATATTTTTGTCTACATAATAACATGTGTTTTTTGTTGAATTAACTAACAATACTTCTCTTTATCAAGTTGCATATGGCGCAGTTACTAGCGGATGGTGTATGATGAAAAGAAGACCCGCCCTCAGACCCATCCACTAACCACTATGAAGTGTGTCAAGTATTCATAGATATAAGATTTTTTTTATAAAGATTAATGCGGGAACTTTGAGACCGGTTCGAAAAGCTAACCTCTTATGATATATGAAACACGCAAATATCATATGAAAAAAACCCGAATCTTTTATCGCCTGTTTTTTTTTTGTTTGTTGACAATTTCCGGTGTGTGGGTTAAAACACAACGTTGTATTTTAACCCTTCATCAAAAGAAAGCTGTGATAAAAAAAGAGCTGCCTGTGTAATGCGCAATTTGTTCTATTGCATCATAAATTAGAAAGAAAATTTTCATCGAGAAAAGATGCACAATCATTTTCAAGTTAGAAAAATGAAAAATGGCAGGCTATGATTTGTATCATCAATGAAATCTAAACAGATCTTTAAATTAGTTTTTTTGAGACATACACACAAAATAATCTATTGGTTGAATAATTGTTGATGGTGACTGTAGATTTCTATGTCAAATAGAAGAAAAAGAACTTTAAAAATTTCATCACAGTCTATTTATTTTCAGCAAATATAAAAAAAAAATCTATTGACATTCTATTCCAAGTCTTTTTGTTTTTTTTTATTTATAACTGTCATTGTCAGACAATTGTTTTTAACATCTGTAAATTATCACTTTAAAATCTAACAATAAAGAATATCTTCTACATTCCATAATATCACAATACTTAAAATTAAACTATATATCAATTATCTCTGGTACACAGAAAACAAGACGAAGAAGAAGGTTAATGTTTTTTCGATAAAATAGGATAAGTACACGACCTGCTGTTATTTTGCATACATATTACTTTAGCACATACTAAATAAATGATAAGATAATCAACAAAAAAAAAAACAAACATATCAAAACAGATGTCCTGAATTGCTTTTTCTCTTCTATAATAGATTTCTTATCTTAATAATTCTAAAACACTTTTGAAATAGATATGAGAAATCTATGTTGATAATAATGTATGATGGCCAGCTGAGAAGAAAAAAGTTGATGACATAAAATTCAACAAAACAAAAAAAAACAAAAAAAGAAAAAGGAAAAGATAAAAAAAAATTATAGAACGAAATGATAACTGTAGCTGACAGAACTCACACACTCGATTCATGTCACAATGACAAGAAGAGAAGTATCATTTATTTATTTTTTGAAGTTAAGAGATATGTTTTGTTACAAAATACCTATTACTTCCAGTAGATAATAATGTCCACGAATGACTTGGAATTGTATTCATCATTTTCATTGTTGAGCACAAATGATGAATGCGGATGTCATGATAATGATGAGGTAATATATTATGTCTTTTCATAAACGAAAGAGGAAGAGAAAGAAAATCAAATATTTTTAAATTTTAATTAATTCATATGAACTATTATCGTTTTAGTTCGTTATATGAAAAATAACTAAATTTTGTATATTTTATAGGTTAGATCAAGTAATAAAACAAAAATTAATGATCGATACATTCAATTGAATATTCATGTATCAAATATTGTTATATTTATTATATCGGTAGAAAATTAAAAACTAAAATTTTAAATAATTATTTTTTGTTTTATTTTATTTTTTGTTTAGTTACATAAACATAATATATATCAATGTCGAAAAAAGTTCTCTGTCGATACGTCGTTATTATCACATAAATTTCTTGTTCATTTGATAAATCGAATATTCAATTTAAATTCAAATTTTATAATAAAAACTAAAAATAATTTTGTAATAACAGATGATTTTGATGTTGATGGTTGTATTATGAATTATACAGATGAAACTATTTTAGAATTAAAAGTTGATCAATATGATACTAATAATGAATATTCTATGAATGAAAATAATATTAATGATAATTATGATTTAATTGAAATTGAAAATGATTCTATTATAGTTACAATTAAATCAATATCTCATCGACAGGAGACATTATTAAAAAAAGCAACAAATTGGTTTTATGGTACAGTTAATACATTATCCAATAAATGTTTAACAAAAAAAGAATTTCATCTTATGTTAGACACAACAAATGGTCGTTTATTAAATGAACAATTATTACGACAACGTATATATGAGAATGGTTGTGAAGAATCAATACGTAGTACAGTTTGGTGTTATTTATTTCGTGTATTTAATGAAACAATGACAAATGAAGATAAAAAACAATATTTAATTAAAGCTACAGAACAATATAATGAGTATGTTAGAAAAAAAAAAAAAAAGAAAAAATTTTCTTTTTTTATTATAAGATAAATAATATATAAAAATTTTAGAATGAAACAATCTTGGCAAAGTAAAAAAGAATTAGAAATAATAACATTGGAAAATTTAATACAAAAAGATGTAACACGTACAGATAGTTCAGAGAAATTTTTTTGTAATAAAACAAATTCATCAAGACAAAAATTATTCAATATTCTTATGACATATTGTATTTATCATCCAGAACCTGGTTATGTACAAGGTTTAGATATTCTTATACTAAAAAAAAAAAAAATAGAAAATTGTATTATTTTGTCTTCTATAGGTATGACAGATATGGTAGCACCTATTTTCTATGTCATACGTGATGAACCATTAGTTTATGCATGTTTTTGTGCATTAATGCGTTATATGAGTCCATTATTTCATTTGGATGGCATTGCAATGAATCGTCGTTTAGATTTATTAAGAAAAACTATTCAAGCTATTGATTTAGAATTATGGCATAAAATAAAACAATGTGATACTAGTTCGTAATTAATTTTAGTTTTTTTTTAAGAAGATTTAATTACCTATATATATATATATGTTACTTCTTTTAGGTAATTTTATGTTTGCTTATCGTTGGTTATTGTTAGATTGTAAACGTGAATTTCCATTCAAAGATATATTTCGTGTATTTGAAACATTATGGGCATCATTATCAATTGATCAATTTGAATTAAATAATAATAATAATTCTGATACAGATATTGATGATCTTTCTCCAACATCAATAATTACACGTCATTATTTATCAAGAATATCATCAAGAACAAATACAATATTATCATCATGTTCATGTTCACCAGGACTTGAAGAAAGTCTATCTGAATATTCAAGTATTGATGGTTGTGATTCTGGTTATCGTGATGAACATAGTACATCATTATTTGATTTAAATCTAAATTATTCTAAACAAGAAAATATTCCTATAATACCATGTATACCATTAGAAAAATGGTTGAAAAATTTTTCTTCAATTCATGATGAAAATGAATATTCCGATATGTTTACAATATTTCTTTGTGTGGCTTTACTTGAACAAAATCGTTCATCAATTATGCAAATGACAACATTTAATGTTGATAATGATGATTATATTGGATCTCATTTTACACGTCTTTCTAGAAAACATGATGCACAACAAGCATTACAATTAGCAAGACATTATCATCGACAGTATGTTGTATTTCAAATACGTATTAAACGATTACAATTGATAAATGATTAATTATTTATTTTTGCTTATAGATTTTCTCGTCTTTCATACATTTTTTTTTTTATTATTTATATATTACTAGTCTTCAATAAGCCAGATTAGATCTCTTTATATTTCGTTTCAAAAAAAAATGTTCTTCCAATATAATAAATTTATTTTTATGTTATTTAAAATATTGATTCTCAATAGTTGTACTCTTCTCTTTGTAGTTTATATTGCAGTTATTTATATCATTTATTCTTTTGTTCGTTTAATATATATTTGACAATCAATTAAATAAAATAATAAAAGAAATTCTTAAACAATTATATTTTTTTGTTAAATTGTATATAATAATTAAAGATTTTTATTTTGAAAATCAATTCCAAGATTATCATGAATTAGCTTTTTATTGAACATATGATAAGAACTATTCAGTAACGGATCTAGAGTCTTTACTGCTAGGAAAATCTTTTATAAGGAGGGCAATCGCCTTCGTTCTCCGAAAACCGGCTACTAATGATCTATCTTTACGTTTGTATTTATTGTAACCTCCTGAGTGTAATACCGATAAAGACCAAGCCGAGTTTGAACGAAATAGATACTGTAAGACTTAGTAAATCTAGTCGAGTAGCAGCAACAGTTCTAATTCAAATCAATCACGATCTTGAAAATCAAAACATTTTTTTTTGAATACATTCACGACAATGGCAGATTCTCAACTGTGGTATATGATAGTTCATCAATTCGTAAAGTGAATGATAAGCAACTAAAACTGTGATATATTCAGCTGCCAACTTAAATGAGCTGAGCATTTGTTCATAAAATATTTCAATAGTATTTAAGAATCTACAGATTGCATAGATTAACTTTTAGTTTTGATTTTCATATCATTTATTATGAGTCATTCAGATAAATCATCACTGTTTCATAGGTGCTTATTTTATTTATTCTTTATAAAAGAATAGAATAAATGATATTTCAATATTGTCTAACAAAAAATATCTATTCGGCATATTTTTTTTTCGTTTAATAGTGATTCATGCGTGATGACTGCAATAGAATAGCTTAGGTTTTCTGTTATTTCTCATTTATTTAATTAGGAGAGTTTTTCAAAACAAAAAAAATTAAAGAGATTTTCACGATTTTCAAAAGCAAGAAAAAATATTGATCTCAATCTTTTAATATTCTTCAGCTCAAAAACCTGATAATCTAACTAAAATTCCTATATTACGAGAAATTAGTTAATTAAAATAGTTCTTCATATATTGAGAATTTTTCTATTACAAAGAATATTTTATATTCAAATTAAATTCATAGAAAAAAAACCTTTGTACTATTTTCTATTTACATATCACATATATTGTTGTCTCTTTATAAATGATTGGTTGATATTTCATACGAATAAAAATCATTATCTCTTTCGACCTCCTTTATACTACAATTAAACTATAATTAAAAAAAAAAATCTTTAAAATAAAATAAAATTTTAAATAAATGAAATTTTTTCATAAAAATCTTTATATTTTATTTGTGACACCAACATAAGAAAAAAAAAACAACAAATATCTAGAGGTCAACATAACGTATCATATCAATATGCTTATGTGTAGGATGTATACAGTTGAATATTATTATTAACAAATAATGAGTAATCTATTTAGTTTACCATTTTCATTTTCTGTATATTCACAAACATTAAAAAATTTATTACAACATCGAATTAATATTCAATTAAATTCAAATGAAGATAAATGGTCAGAAAAAGCTATTAAAGGTTTAATTAAACGTTTAACAAAAACATCTATGATTGATGATTTACAAATAGCATTAGATAGTAAAAATTCACAAACACGTTGTGTTACAATTCCAAGGTATACAAAATACCAAAATTTATTTAATTTTTTTTTGTTTTTATAGAGATGCACAAATTAAATTAGTCGAACCAAATCCATCATCAACAATACGAAAAGCATTTAATGATAGAACACCAGTTGTAGCTTTTTGTCGTATATGGCGTTGGCCAGATTTAAATACACATCTTGAATTACGACCTATTGAAACATGTTCATATGCATTTCAACATGATAAAGATCAAATATGTGTTAATCCTTATCATTATGAACGAGTTGTTGCACCATGTAAAGAATATATTTTTGAAACAGAGAGTGTCCGTTAGAACTTGTCAGGTCCGGATTTGAAAATTTTAGATCAGACGGGCTCTAGTATTGACTATACTAACATTCACATTCGCTACAACATTTGCTGAGATATGCGGCATTTCTCAAAATATATTTAAAATTTTCGTATCTATCTGATAATTTAACGGTTTCGGTTGTTATGTGATATTTTGGAAATCGCCGTACTTTAGTGTACTAACCACACTGACGAGTAGAGCCCGTCGAGTCCAAAATTTTCGGACCCGGACCCGGTCGGCCCGTGTTTTCATACTTTTTTTCCAGTTTTTTTTTATTGGACGGCTAGTGCACCCTACATATTTCTCAGATGGCTCGTCTAAAAAATATGTAGGATGGAGCCCATTGGGTCCGGAACCAATCCGATGGGTTCTACTAACAAGGAAATTTCGTCAGATGTGCCCTTCTGATTTCAATGTAGATACTATACAGTGTTCTAATAAAAGCTCTCAAAGGATTTTTTATTAGAATACTATGTAATATCTACTTAGGGCATACCAAAAGTTTTGGCCACGGTGTTAAGAATCTTTTCGGATAAGCGGACCTATTGAGAAATGAAAAACTAGATATCTGATGTTGTAGAGCTTTTTGAGGCGCGTCGAATGGTATTTAGTAAATTCGGTTTCCATAGGACTTTCAAGAATCTAGATAGACGACTACACATCCACACCGGCAAGATGACCGGAGATGCTACATATAGGAGGTTGTAGCTCGTCAAAAACTCTACAAAATTGTATGCGAAAAAAAAAACATTTTCGACTGATACCAAGGATCACAATATTCAAAAACTTATCATGCTTAGGTGTGGATGAGTAGTCGTTTATCAGTAAATTGACTCTAATTTCTTTAAAGTCTTATGAAAACAGAATTTACTACACACCATTTGGCGCGTCTCAAAAAGCACTACAACATGGTATATTTGGCTTTTCATTTCTCAATAGGTTTCCTTATCCAAATAGATCCTTTAAACGCCATGGCCAGAAATTTTGGTATGCCCTAAGTATATTGAAATCGTAAGGAAACATTTGAATGGAAGTTCCTTCGTATGTCTGTGATCAGTAAACTGAAACTACACATTTCTAACTTCAATTATATTAATTCTTTTTTTTATTTTTTTTTAAATTACTTTTAGTTATTCCACCTGTTTATGTATCAGTTTTGGATCGAGCTATATTTAATTCAACAACTAGTGAACGTCAACAAGAACAATTAGATTCAAATATTTCAATGGATTGTTCATCATCTGATCAACAACATACAGCTGTAAATAGTCCAGTAAATTTACAAGATAATTCTGAAGCCATGACACCAATACCACTACCAACAACAGCAATATCTTATGTTGAAACACCAGTTTGGTGTTCAATACTTTATTATGAATTAAATCAACGTGTTGGTGAAACATTTCATGCAACACTTAATTCACTTGTTATTGATGGATTTTGTGATCCAAATGCATCCGATAGATTTTGTCTTGGATCATTAACAAATGTTAATCGAACATATGAAAGTGAAACATGTAGAAAAATGATTGGTAATGGTGTAAGACTTTATTATATTGGTGGTGAAGTTTTTGCTGAATGTCATTCTGATTCACCAATATTTGTTCAAAGTCCATGTTGTAATCAACGTTTTCAATGGCATCCAGCAACAGTTTGTAAAATACCACCACGTAAGTTTTTCTACAAAGAAAATCGAATAAAATTTTACAGAGAATAAGCCGAATTTCAGTTTTTTTATTAGATAATATATAAAATTTTCTTCCTTTTTTTTATCGGTTATTAAATATTTATGCTTTCCATTCTCAAAATCAAATAAAACATTCAATTTGCATAAAATTTTCCGTTCGATATCATAATATATTCATCAAAAATAGTTAATTCGCTAATCCGAAATTCTCTATGGATCTTCACTTTTTATGTTGAAATGCTAAGAATAACAAGTTCAATATAAGAGAAATATCAATTTATGGTTAGACCATAATAAATTCCATTTCCTTGCAAGATATGAAAATATGGAATTTCAGCCTAAAGAAATATGTTCATCTTGAGATATTCAAAAACAATCATGAATGACTAAGAAAGATAAAATTCGGTATTTTCAAAAATCTACAAGATCTACCGATAGGTTAGAAATTTTTAGTTCGATTGTTTCACATATGAACTAAGACACTGACGTACATTGTATATTTCTATTGCAACGACATTTAAACCAAACAAAGAAAAATCTCTCTATGTCAAACATTCTTTTTTCTTTTATCAAGACTACTTCTCATCGAAATCAATTCCGGGTCATGGACATTCAATTTGCATGAAATTTTTATGATATGAACTGAAGATCTCGAAAACCTTCTGGTAAATAATTAGAGCAAAGTTTAAGTGAAAAAAAAAACAAGGAGCTCAGTGATGCTATGCTCCTTCAAGCAAACAAAAAAAAAAAGATTTATAGAGAATTCTATTTTGAATTATGCGAATTTTGATCATTATTTTTTTTTTCATCATCATTCAATGAGTTCTATATTTGTTTTTAAATACCGGAAATTATGAAAAAAAAATATATATATATATTTTGACATTTTCTTTTTACAGAAGGAAGTGTCCTTGAAATTTAATTATATTGAAAATTTTTCTTTGTTTTTTTTCTTCTTAGGTTGTAATTTAAAAATCTTTAGTAATACAGAATTTGCTCAAATATTATCTGATACAGTGCAATATGGTTATGAAGCTGTTTATAATCTTACACGAATATGTGCTATTCGTATGAGTTTTGTTAAAGGTTGGGGTGAAGAATATCGGTAAATATAAATATTTCATCAACCATTCGAAAGAATTTTTCTAAAATATTTTTTTTTAGTCGACGTACAATAATGAGTACACCATGTTGGGTAGAAATTCATCTTAATGGTCCAATGCAATGGTTAGATAATGTTCTTCAACAATTACCAGCACTGGGTAGTATGTCTAGCAAATAATAAAACAGAGAACAAAAAAAATGTCTTCTATTAAAATAGCAAACATTTATTATATCTGTTCGCTTTTAGTATTGTATATTTGTTTATCTCGTTGATTTTATTCATTATAAATCTTGTACATATATATATATATGTATAAACATTTATTCTATTCAATTAATATTTCTAGATAAAAATTTAACAATGGTTAATGTACCAAAAACACGTCGTACATTTTGTAAAGGAAAAAATTGCAAAAAACATACATTACATAAAGTATCACAATATAAAAAAGGCAAAGATAGTGTACATGTTCAAGGTAAACGACGTTATGATATGAAACAAAAAGGTTATGGTGGACAAAAAAAACCTGTCTTTCATAAAAAAGCTAAAACAACAAAAAAAATTGTTCTACGTATGGAATGTACGGAATGTAAATTTAAAAAACAATTAGCTATTAAACGAACGAAACATTTTGAATTAGGTGCAGAAAAAAAGAAGAAAAATCAAGTTATCAATTATTAAACAAATTTTTACAACAAACATTTATTCTACCATCAATTATTATTTTTCTTTTGTTTGTTGTTACATATAAAAATTAAAGAAAAAAACAAAAATTTGTTTATTTTTATTTATATTATGACGAATTTATAACATCAAAATTCGTTTAGGAAAAAAAAAAGAATAAAATACAAATTCGATATTTGTTTGTTTGTTTCTTTTTTAGATATTTTATATTTATGATTTGGTTTATATGATAAGAATTATAAGTAATTATTTTTTCGAATATCTTAGATTCACTGCTATTATCATTTTGTATTTATAAGTATTTAGTTTTAATGTTTATATTTTACATAAAACAGATCTATCATAAAAATTTTCAAGATTGTAATTGAAAGACTATAATAAAATTTTTAGCTCAAATAACAGAATGTTTTCATTAGATAAATAACTAAAATTTAATAGTCCGAAATTCTCTATGATCTTTCATTTGCAAACTAACAAATTAAAAATATCGGCTATCCTTAAAGAGATATTCGGATTTTAAAATATTTATAGTGCATATAAAGTATAGTCAGATAGAGCTGTCGCACACCAACGGTAGCCTATATTATCAGGAATGCGTGGGGGAAGCACGCACCCCCTCTTTTTCTCTTCGCCACATTCCTATAAGTAAGTATTCCTTCAGAATTTTTCTTAGTTTATTATATATAATTTGTAACTTTTTTAAAAATACCAACGACCATTTTTTGAGTAACCTCTAATCGTTTATAGCTATCGAAGTTCGATTTTCACCATTAGATAGAACAATGTTAGAGGCGTCTAGCATTCATTAAGTTTAACAATTTTTCATAACCATCACCTATGTTCGAATTACACCAAAATGTAACTCGAAGAATGTTATATTCATTGTATAATTATCCTCACCTTCAACTCATGCTTCAAGAGAAGTATGGAAATTTTATGAATTTCTTTTTTATGAAAGAAGTTATATCAATCTAAATTTTCTAAGGCTTTTTCTTAGAATAAAGTCCTTCATATGTATGTAAACTATCACATGGATCAATTGATAGCATTCTCTTGTTAACATTATAGAATAATCAAAAATTCTATTCATATTATCTTTATACTGTTTAATTTACTTCTTATATTCTTCAATATATCTTCTTATCAAGTTCTTCCAGTAAATATGATAATTAAAAATAAAAAAAAAATCCTTCTCATTGTTTTTTACTTAAAAATAATTGTGTGATTATAATATTACCTGGAAAGGATTGTAGACAGACGGTAAATAAAAAATGTAATACTAAAGTCTATTTTTTTTGTCTCTATTTAACAGTGCGCAATTTTTTTTTGTTTTGTCTCAAATAAACATGTTTTTTCTAAAATATTCGTTTTATTTTTAATGATATTAAAAACTTTTATTATATCATCAATCAATGGAAGTATTGTTTTGTTTTTGTCCTATTATTGAAGATAAACATATTATTCTTTTTCTTTTTTTTTTTTTATCAATGTCAAAGATTAAATTAAAGTCTGAGCAAAAGTATGTTCACATATTTATTGACATAAATATTAGAGGAAAAAATAGTTAGACATGACAAGTGTTTTCAAGGCTCTTGTTTTTTTTTAATACTTTGGACAAGATAAATAATTCAAAAAAAAAAAAAAGAATTACGACATATAAATTATAGATATATATATATGTATGTTCTCTTTTAAGTTTTGAGTACAGATTACTATGATGAAAACATCTTATTAATCACAAAATTATTAATTTTCATTGTAAGAAATTAAATCTAAATTTATATTAAACTAATCAAAAATAAAATATAGATATTTTACTTATTTGTAGATTAAAAACAAAAATATTAATAAATAATGTCAAATGCATCATCATCATCATCAACATCAAATCGAATGGTATCATTTATAAATTCCGTACGAAGTAAACGTTCTGTTTCACCTATAGCTCAACGTTTACTTGAATTATGTGTTCATTATCAACAACAAGAACAAAATAATCAAAATAATATATTATTACCATCATCATCAAATATCAATCCAATTGATTTAAATAAACAATCAACAAAAAAAATTAAAAATTTATTAAAACAAATAAATAAATCAAAACGAAATGGTTCTGTTGAAGAATTTGAACGTGCTATTTTACATAGAGATTCAAGAACAAGATGTATTACTATACCACGGTAAGTTTAATAAAATAAATAGGAATGACTTATCATTAATTATCGTATATTAAATTCAAATTTTAAACAAACTAAATTAAGTTCAATGCCATTCAGTGTTTTGTGTATATCATCCTAAAGTGTAAAGGGACGGGTTCTTATGTTTTTTTTAAAGAAGCTACGTTTACATAACTATACCATTCAATTAATATATTTTCCGATGATTGTTTTCTAGATCATCTGATATTACACATGAGCAATTATCAAAATCAAATCCAGTTGTTGAATATTGTCGTCTTTGGCGTTGGCCTGATTTAGCTAATTCAAATGAACTTAAACCTGTTGATTATTGTCCAAATGCTTTTCATTATACACTTGATAATATTTGTATTAATCCATATCATTATGAACGTGTACCAAGTATGTCAATAATTAATTTCTAAAAATAAAAAAAAAAAAATTCTTGATTTTACTTTTTTCTTTTTTGTTAAGGTATTTATTCTGTTTATGTTCCACTTTTACCACCTGAAACAATGCAAAATATACCTGATTTACGTTCATCATCAATAAAAGAATCAATAATTAATCAAATTCCAGAAAATAAAACCTATGAAGCACCATTTCTACAACAACAACAACAACAAGAACTATCACCAACAGCATTATCACCTGAAAGTATTAATTCACCAGGTAAAAAAAAATATATGTGAGAATCTATATCATAGCGATTTTTATTTTAAGCTGATAATCCTTTTCATTATGGATTTGTTGATTAAGACCATATATAGATCATTTAACGTTTTGTTGAATGATTTTTTTTCTATATATGTTCAGCTCATGAAAAAAATCGCAATATAAAAAAAAATAATATGAACTGTTAGTACTACGAGTTACTTTTCAATGAATTCGTTAGCCTCCAATGTTCATACAATAATATTATTTTTTTATTTTTATTTTAAATTAATTTTAGATTCTTTTCATTCACCATCAAGTGGTATAAATAATGATGAAAATATTGAAACAACAATACCAATGGATCTTGATATTGTTCAAACAATTCCACAAGAAGAAAATTTTCCACATGAACAAGTTATTTTTCAAGAACCTCGTGAATGGTGTCGTATATCTTATTATGAAATGTCAAATCGTGTTGGTGAACAATATCTTGCAACACAATCTCAAGTTATTATTGATGGTTATACACATCCATCAGATGCTGAACGTTTTTGTTTAGGTGGTTTAACTAATATTCAACGTACAATGGAAATTGATAAAGCACGACGTTATATTGGTCGTGGTGTAAAATTATTTCATATACGTGGAAATGTATTTGCTGAATGTTTATCAGATAATCCTGTTTTTGTTCAAAGTCCAATAGCAAATAAAAAACTTTCATGGCATCCAGCAACTGTTTGTAGAATTCCACCAAGTAAATTTTCTATATTAGGAATTAATTATTGAAAAATTAAATCTTTTATTTTTATTAGATGTTCGATGGCAAATTTTTGATAGTGATGAATTTACTCAAATATTAGCAAGCGCTGTACATGAAGGTTATGAATCAGTTTATAATCTAAGAAATATGTGTATTATACGAATGAGTTTAGTTAAAGGATGGGGTGTTGAATATCGACGACAATCAGTTACAAATACACCATGTTGGATTGAAATATTTTTAGATGGTCCATTAAAATGGCTTGATAGAGTTCTCTTTACAATGCATGGTCCAAATCAATCAATAACGAGTGTTTCTTAATAATTTACAATTATATATATATATTTTTTTTTTGTTTTTTTTGTTAATATTATAACAAACTCGTAAAAAAAACCGGTTTTTTTTTTATTTTAGTAATCCTTCTTCTTTTTTTTTTTTTTTTTAATGTAAATAATTCATATTAAAAAAAAAAAAAAACAACGATGACGATATACTCTTGAATATATATATATATATATTTATTTTTCCGATACTATTTAATTCTTTATAGATTATTCAACAAAATGTCATCAGGATTTAAACTTGAAACTGTTACACAAGGAAATGGTTAATATGTAATTGAAATGAGAAAAAAAAAGAAAATTTTCTCTTTGGATTTTAGGTCAAAAACCAAAAGCAGGTCAACGTGTTCGTGTTCATTATACAGGTAAAAATTTAATATTCTTTGTTTTTTTTTTTGATAATATTCTTTTTTGTTTTTGGTTTTATAAAATAGGAACATTAACAAATGGAAAAAAATTTGATTCATCACGTGATCGAAATCGTCCATTCGAATTTACTCTTGGTAAAGGCGAAGTTATTAAAGTAAGATAAATAGAATATAGAATTTAAATATAATATTAAAATATATTCATTAGGGTTGGGATCAAGGTGTAGCTCAAATGTCAAAAGGTGAACGTGCGACACTTACATGTCCACCTGATTATGCTTATGGTAATAAAAAGAAAAAACGAATGTGAATTTAAATTAAATTTTATTGTTTTATATATAGGTAGTGAAAGTGTTGGTAATGGATTAATTCCAGCTAATTCAACATTAATCTTCGATGTTGAATTAATCGATTTCAAATAAATGATAAGCGATTTGCTCAATTTAAAAAATAGACATTCACATTTAATCATCCGTAGTGACACGTGCAAACCTTGTTTATCCTTATCCTAGCAAAATTTTCCCTTTTTATGTCTTCGCTTAAAGCCAATCATTTGTAGTTCAAATAAATCGTAGTCGATATTAAACTATCAATATCATAAAGAAAATTATTATTGCTAAACATATATATATCGAAATCAAAATCAAGATATTGTACACATTTGTTAAAGTCTATCGAACTATGATTAGAAGCAGAAGTCGAATGATATGAAATTATATTAGGAAATTCATAGAAGTACACCGACATTTGAGTCTAATAAAAAGAACAAATCAAAAGAAATGTTTTATATGAATTGCATTGAAATTGTTTCTTTAAAATTTAATGCATGACTAATTTAACATATTGTATACTCTGAAAACACGCACAATTATGTGTATAATAATATCAAATTGATTGATGCATAAATAACAAAAACTATTCGAGCAGAAGTTGATTATTGTTTTTAGGAGACTGAATAATTGACATTGTATTACAAATGAAATCTAATTAATTGAATATTTACTAATCTCTAAAGATGATTCTCTTAGCCGTGATGATAACGCATCAGGCAATTCAAAATTGAAGTAAATCTCATGATTCTATAGTGCTTGTCGATTTACCAAAACTTTTGGTGTATTTCAATTTTTTTCTAAACTTTTCTGATTATTCTTAATGCTCCTTCAAAAAAAGTTAATTTTCGTCAAAATGATCGAAACTAAGATAAATACAGGGAAAGATAGTTCGTGATCTGGTCTCTCACAAATGACAAAAATTCTTACACGACACCTCGTTTTTTCCAAAAGTTTTTGAAAATTTTCGTCATCCTCTACTCAATCGCATCTCGAAAGAGCTTCATTGTAGCCAATAGGTTTTTTTTTGTTTGAAAGAACGTGTACAACTGCAGTGACTATGAGAGCTTGTTTTTTAATTAAAATTTGCTTTTATGATATATACAAACATTTATATAATTACTCCGCTATTTTTAGACAGTTTTTTTAAGTCATTGAACTTTCAATCCCTTTTTTCCTTTAAAAAGTAAGAGATTCTCATAGGCACTACATTCTGACATGCTTTTTCAAATAAAAAATAAATAAATTAAATGTATAGACTGAAGATCACAGAGAATTTTTGGAAACGAAATGAACTATTCTTTGACACTTGTTTGGCCAATATCTCCCTCAAACAGCATGGTACAGGTAAAGGTGTTAGCCGCCGCCGGTCTGTTTTTGCATGAACTTCTTTTATTGTTAGAAAATATCTTATAGCTCTTGTATATCATTGCGACTTCCAATCTGTAACAGCAGCAGCTTTAGTGTTTCATACAAAGGAGAAATAATAGATTTTTTTTTTATTTAAATGCATTTTTAATGGGGATGGTTACGTGTCGGTCATCCTTGCATGGGGAAGATTCGGAATCCGCAAAAGTGAAGAATACTATCTCGACAATTGAAAGTCTGTTATCAGACATGTTGCAAGATACTTAGAAGAAGAGTGATATAAATTCTATTTTTTGTGTGAAAAATAGATATAAATTCTAATGTAATTTCACTGTGAGAATAAAATTAATATACTGGAACGATAAAGCTGTCTTTGTACTACTCATGGATTAGAAAGAAGATCATTTTTTTTTGTCATGACAGTTTGATATGTTAAGTTATCAAATCTTTCCCTTTAGAACATCGAAAAAAGACGAAATTCCGTAACGGACGATATTTCAAATGTAGGCTCGATTCGAAATGACCTGATATTCTAATAGCTTGTTACAAGCGGAACAACTTTTGAGTGTTGTTTTGTTTCGTACAAAAGTACGTAATTCTTAGTTACCTAAAAAAAAATTTCATTTTTTGAAATTCCATAACGGTTGGTATTTGTTAAATAACTCTGCTGTGGTTACAGAGAAATTAACGAAACTTTTATTGGTAATAGATTTCAGCGATCTCTATTTATGGTTAAAAATTTCAGATAGTTTGCTTCTTTTTTTTTTTTTATTAAGAAGTTGTAGATATTGCAATGTGAAAAAATGAAATTCCGTAATGCATAGTCACGTCAAAATCAAGAAACTCAGAAAAATTTTTTTAAATCGAAAAATATCATAAAGAACTCTCACAATATCTACATATTTCTTTGCTATTTTGCTTCATAGTACAATATTCGAAGGTTGGTCCATATATCTCAAAAAATTTTTTCGCCTCTGAAAAACTGATCGACTAACATCTCTAGGTACAGGATCGAAAATTTTACTACTACAACCCCGACATATCCTGAAAATTTCATGTCATTCGAACGTTCCTGGTTTGAGATCAATTTTTAACGGACGATGACCTTAATCTAATTTTTCTCCTAAGTTTCACTTAATAACACGACGAGCTCTATTAATATTGATTTTATGTCTTGCTTACGTAGTCGACAAGGACTTCAGGACTGAAAAAATACGAGAAAAAAGTTGTTCCAACCAGAACTGAAGATTATCATTAAATATTCTATGACTTTAAGCGAACTATTTCAGAGAGATGACACAAAAAAAATGTTAGTGGCCGATAAAATGTATGAAAAAACGATGACAATTAAATTCTTGAATAGCCTTTTCGAGACTGAAACCAAAAAAAAGCTTGATCCCGAGCATCTCTAGTTTGATTATCTGTGATGGATATCAATTTTAGATCTTTTCGAAATATTCTTATCAGTTAAAAAAACAAAAAGAATAAATTTTGAAATCAATGTGTTTTTATTTTTGTCGAACGTTTATAATCAATTGTTTCAATAGCTTATTTGTTTTATGAACCCTGGATATGAATAGAAAGAACGAGAAGAAAAATATATCTTATTGTCTATTCATAGTACATATATTGAAATCATTTCCATCTATTCGTCTTCGCATATACACATAAATACATTTCTTTTTTTTTTATTTTATTTCATTTATACTTAACGATTTTACATTTCTAATGGAAAAATTTCAAACTTATCCATTATCATCATGTTATTCTATTAAATCTCCAAAAGATGGTAGATTTATTGTCATTGATGACAAACAAAGATTTTCTCGTTTTATTTCAAATGATTCTGGTATTAGTTTTGGTGATAGTGATAATGAAAGTATTCAATCATTAGATGAATATGAATTTGATATTGATCAAAATTTTTATTTATCATTAAATGAACAACAATCAATAACAGTTACTAATGATGGTAAAGTGTAAAAATAGAATTTGATGTACTAATTAAGAATTTACTTTTTTTTTTTGTTGAATTATAAAATATAAAAAAAAAAAAAAAAAATTTTCTTAATTGTTTTTATTTCTTTAGCTCATATAGCATCAGTTATACCAGATGATGATAAAAAATTCTTTTGTCAAAATACTGCTTGGGCTTGGCATGGAGAATTTGGTCGATTAATCATGGCTACAGCTATGACATATAATGTAGACTATCGTCTTATACTTTATGATGATCGTTTAATATGTTCTCGTGCAAATAATGCATATTATTCAATATTACGATTAGATAATGCAAAAGCCCAATTTAAATGTGATACATGTGGACATTGTTGGACATCAATGAGAGCTCGTTGTTCATTTTATATATCGAAGCCAAATGAAGGCGGTATTGTTCTATTAAAACTTTTTACACAACAATGTCAATATTGTTATTCAACTGTATATCCATTGTGGTATTATGGTAAGATTTCAAAAAAAAAAATTTCATTTTCAAAAATCTTTATTTTAGATGAAATTTGTCGTGTTATGAAAAATTTAGCATTAACAATTTTTGAACATTTTTTTCCTAATTCATTTCAATATATCGATTGGAATTTAACACATAATGGATTAAAATCAATTCGACGTTTATTACAACGAAAAGGAAATATGCGTAATCAACATAACCCTTTTTTATGCGAAGCATGTCATTTTGGTGTATGTTATTAATGAAATATTTTTTTGTACAAAAAAATAGATATGTATATTTTTTTTCTTTTATATAAAACTATTTACTATTTTCTTATTACAAAAAAAAAGAACCGTGTGTGACTGTATGTATAATAGTTATTAGCTATTTTGTTTCGACTTTATCCTTTAACTATATTTATTTTTTTATATATACTCTGTTATTATTTGGTTATTTTTTTCTATTGATATTCATGATGATGAAATATATTTATATAGAATAATGAATTGAATGTGTTTGTTTTGTTTTTTTTGGATTCGTTTGAAACTTATTATTAATAGAGAACGTTTGCAAATTGAAAACGAAGAGATTTGCCCATCCGAAAAAATTTCATACCTTGTTTTGACTAAGCTGATGAGGTAAGTCCTCTAAATGATTAATCGCTTTTGAGTTAGAACTATGTTCATCATGTAAATTCTAATGAGTTATGAATATGATGGAAAGAGTTCGAATCCTTAGCTTATTGTTGCAGAAATACTCTACATTTTTAATTCAATGGCGTAGTCTCCTCACTCAAGAACAGCGGAAAAAAAATGATTTTTTGAATTCTGACTTGAAACTTTCCGCAGAGACAAATCTTAATGAGGATAGGGTATTCTGAAAATTTCAGACTTTTTGATCTGTTCACAACGAACCGACCTTTTCGGGTTCACGTTCGAATTTGACTCTAGCGAAGAAAAAAGGTAAGAAAAGAAAGCTGGATTTGTAAAGTATGATCTTAAAGATTCATCTATTTTGCCATCTCGCTTGGAAAACATGAGAGCACTTCACGTATATTAGACAATTTTTTAAAACTCATAGATGGTTAAGGTTCGACCAGTTGGTTCAGGCTCCTATCCTGAGATAAGAACATCGAACCTACCGATATATATATATGAACCGTGTAAAAGACACGCTTTTATCATAGCAGTAAGTTAAGGACACCTGAACTCTTTTCCAGATATCCATAGCACCTTAGAATCTATATGATACACTAAGTTCTGACTTAAAGGCGATTATCATGAGATATAGAGGTTCTACTGAAATTTAACTCTAGGATTGTGATTTTTCAAGAAAATGATTTTTTTTGTATTTCAATCCACATCAAGATGACAACCAGATTAACTTGTAGAAAATGATTTCAGGATTTTTAGATGCAGTATTCCGGTGCTTTGTATTTTTGATAATATAGACACTTGTCCATAGATATTATATAAAAACTCAAATGTCATTGATGCCGAAACTGAAAAATTCTGAAATTTTTTTTTTTGGATACAAGTTAATCTAGTTGACACGTATTGATGTAGAATCAAATTCGAATATATACAGTAAAACCTTTTTTTTTTTTTTTTGTTAAAAAAGCAAAAAGAAATATGTGCTAATCGAATACATAAAGTGAAGAGAATAATTGCACACGTGTTGTTTGTTTGTTGTCTAAGCTTGTTCAAGTGAGATGAATAAACAATAGAAAAGAATACCAAAAAAAGGTAAGCTCATCATTGGATTGCATGTCAATGATAATGTTCAGAAATTAAAAAAAAAATCTCCATAGTGAAACAATGAATAACACATATCGATAATAATGACAATCTAATCATTAATGAAAACAACAGCCGATATTATTGTCATCGTCTTTTTAAAACTTATTTTTAGTTGATCATTTTTTTTTTTTTTTTAGTGATTAAACATGACAATAGAATAAAGAGAGGCAAAGACAAAATGATGACTGATTGTATTATATCTTCCACTTCAATGAAATTTGACTCGTCAATAGAGATGATGAATCCCCATGCCAACAAATCGAATAGTGTTATAGATATAAGCAGAACAGTTTCATGACTTCCGTACTTTGTTCCTTGCTTCAATTGTAATAATGTACTGAATAAATAATGTCTCTGTATACATACTTGATGATTGACACTATCTAAATACCTTCTTTTTTTTTTTTACTCCAATGACAACATTTTTCTTCCTTCGATTTGATTTCTCTCGTCTCCAATTGGTACATTATTTAAAGAGAGAAAAGAATCTGTTCTGTCACCTGTCAATATTTCGTCATTTGATTTCAATCGTTTGATATTTTTCTATTGTGAAATAAAAAAAGAAATCTTCAAATCAAATGTCAGAAGTAAAAGTAATTAAACCAATTGCAAAGTATGCAAATTTGAATGAAAATCTTCCTATAACAACATCCTTCAAACTATTACCAGTTGCTGGTACAACATTAAAAGAAGGTTCATTAATTTATTTGCTTCGTCAATTACCATATCATTTTCTTTTAACTGATTTTTATGATAATACTCAACATTATAATAAAATTCCAGTAAGTTATTAATATTAAATGTAGGCATATTTCGTTGGATATGAATTAGGATTCGAACAGATGAGTATGCATGATTGGAAAAGAAAACGCTCATCCTTCAAATTCGATTAACTTCTAAAAGGTGTCCTTCTAATTCTGGCGATCTTGAAACACTATCTCTGAAAGTTACTATGACAAGTCATTTTGAGTGAGTTATTTACAACTAATAAAATGCAAAGAATAAGTCTTCTGAGACCTTTTTGTTAAGAATTATAGGCATTTTATTGGAAATTTTAGTTTCTGGCATGAAATATACCAACAAATCGAATGATTGTATTTCAATCTGAGATTTCTTCCCACAGGTAGGTCTATCTATCAGTAGAATATTTCCTTCCTAAAATATTAAAGACCCCAAAATTACTCATATTATACGAAGGATGCAAGAATTGTCTGTTTTTTTTCGAACTTTAATATCTCAAGAAGAAAATATTTTTTTGAGTCAAAATTCTCAGAACATTCTACTGACAAATAGATCTGTATGGAAGCAAAATCTTAACTCGACATACTATCATTCAATTTGCTGGTATAGACCATACCAGAGACTATCCTATTAGAGTCCTATTGACAGTTATAGTTTGATGTCTAAGAGCGAAAGCTTAATGGCATAATCGAATAGAAGCTAGAGAAAACGTCTCCTAAAGAGGGCATATGCTTGTAAAAATATTTTATAATTACACCCACATCCGAAATTTGTCAGCTGTAACAAAGATATTGGATTTTCGAAATAGTATTTATTAATATTTTTCATCAACAAATTTGGTTTCTTCTTCTTATTCAAATTGATATTTGTAATGTTTGAACTATTGATTCAATCTAATACATCTTCAAGTAATCTTTCAGTAAATTAGTAAGATGACATAACAAAAATTTCTTTCATTCTTTAAGTATCATTACTTAGCCATGATCTTTTCTCGTTCGTAAGTTATTCAAAAATTAAGAAATTTTAGAAAAAAAAAAAACGTATTTGACAAACTACACTGGTACTAGATATGAACAAGATGATGTCGGGACTAATTTTTGTTCTATGAAAATTTTGCTCATTTACTCGTGTCAACTTATTCGACTATATTCTATTTAGATTCATAGTTGGAATCAATATTTAATTGGACCAGGATTATTTCAAGAATGGATCTTAGCAATAAAAAGTGCTCGTACACCTGATGAACAAAATATAGAATTATTTCAATCATCTGAAACTCATATATACGGTTTTCGAACAACTCGTTTAATAGTACCAGATGAACCTCTTCTTGCATGGTTTAGTCTTTCACAATTACGTACAATATGTGAAAAAATTAAATTAACAAAAATATTTAAAGTTGAAGAACTCCTTAAATGTAAGATTCACTATTTTGTTATATAAGAAAAAATAAAATATCTTGTCGTTTAAATAGCAACACGATGTTCACGTTGTAAAATAGATCAACATTATTTAAATGTACTTGTTGCACATGTTCTTATGAATCAATGTCATCATAGTTCAATACTATCGAATAATATTGATTTCAATGAACAATTATCAACAAAAAATTCATCGTCTCATCAAAATACGATTATTAATAAATCAAAAAATGAAGAAATTAAAGAAAAAGAACATAAACGACAACAATCCATTGGATTTTCAACAAATGATGTATCATCTTATAAAATGAGTGTACTTGATGGTACTCATGCATTAGAATTTACTTCATTAGATACCGATGGAAGACAACGTAAAGGTCATTTATGTTTATTTTGTGGCAAAGTAAATTAATATTAAAAAAGAAACAAAAGATTTTATATAGAAAAAATATTCTGGTTTATTTTAGATTTATAATCGAAAATATGGTTTAAAAATTCATCTTCGTACACATACAGGATATAAACCATTGCGATGTCGAGTTTGTTTTCGACCATTTAGTGATCCGTCAAATTTAAATAAACATATTCGACTTCATTCAACATCATCATCATTCTTATTACAAAAAGAATCTTTTGATAAGCAGAAAGAATTGAAGATAAATACGAATTCAGAGACATTAGTAGATTAATAATAATTATTAAAGTTTATTATTGTATTTAAATTTCATTTATAGTTAAACATAGAGATGTTTTACAAAGCTAATAATCATAAATAAAATAAATCTTGATTGATGTTATTAATTTAATTTTGATATAAAGAGAATTGTTCAACATTTTATTGAGATTTTCGTTTTCGGACGAACGATTTAAAAAAAACTTCACGGGAACGAACACCTGTTTTTGGGAGCACAGACACATAGTACATTCTATAATAACTACAAACTCTGAGAGAACCCTGTAAAGCAGTCGATAACTGGGTTGATAAAACCGTGGAAAACCGCTGGTTTTTTTTCTCGGTTTTCATTACATGAATGTTCAGTTTCATAATTATTTCTTTAATCAAATCCAACTTTGTTTGATTCTTACTTGCAAATATCATCTTTGAGCAATATTGTGTTGAACATATGATTGTTCGTCATACCTTAATAAAATCTCTTTCGTGAATCTTTTTCATAATAAAAGAAGCACAATTATGGAAAGAAAGGATGTGGGTACGCAATAAACTTTAATATTTTTGATTGATACGAAGTTATAATTGAGTTATCGCAGTTTAAAATTTAATAGGAATGCCATAATTTCGAATTGATAGAATTGATAAAAAAGAAAACTTTTGTTTATCTTAAACCATTGTAAATTAATAGACCATCCGTCATGGAACAAGTCTTATGACGGAAATACAAACAAACTTTCAAGTTCAGATAGGGAAAAAGTTTATTTAATAGAAATATATTATTGTCTATTTATTTCACATGTATTGTCCATCTTATGACAAATTCAATTAGGCACAAAACTATCTATAATTATTCAGTTAATTTTCAAGATAATTGACTGATTTTTGCATCATTCGATTGAGCAGACACTTCTCTATTAAATAATATAAAACACTCTTAAGTTTCTTTGACATTGTTTGAAAAAAAAAGGAAAATTTTTGCGTCTACGAAAAAGCTGCTTCAATTAAGAACATTGTCTGTACTTATCACTTCATGATAAAATTCTATCTTAATTATTGGTACCATAATCATCCATGTCCTGAAAATCGTCTCAGTTTCTATCATCATTAGCGATATTGGGTGTGGGTGAGTGTGAGTATGGATGGGTATGGGCGTGTGAGTGCGGGTGTGAAGAATTCGCCAGTCGACCCTCACCCAACTGCACCCACCCTCACACCACCCACCCATACAAATGAAAGGTATTCTTTAATAGTTAGTACTAGAGTTCTGCGATTCCAAAAAAAAATGGAGCCGAGAACTGAACCGTTAGGAGCCGAAATTTTTCTTGAGGATGAGAGTTTCAAGATGTGTAGATGTTGCAAGATGCACATTATGGGTGAATCCGTGGTGTTTCTACCACTTTCGGGAAAAAATCTTTTTTTTCAATTTTAATAGGCTAGTTAGACGGAACGTCGTCGAAAACGGTCTGAGGTAATAGTTAAAACTTTTTTACTCATGGAAAGTATGAGGATCCAGGTAGTTTTTTAGGAACATCTCAAGGTATATATATCGGGTGTCCAGTAAGTAACTATACAAAGAAAAAGTTGAATATTTCCATTACGGCTAGACCAAACGGGCTCACTTTTTTACCAAGGATACAAGCATGTTCACACTCCAAATCTACACGGACAAGATTAGTGAGAACCTTTGTTAAATATCAATATTGACCTCAACAAGAGAAGGAGGTTTGCCAAATTATGGACTGATCGTCTCAAACAGGATAAGCCTAATTTTATTAGCCCGATAATCAGCATTGAACCCTGATTATTTTTCATAAGTTTATTCTGCATTTTATCACAACTCAGTTTTTTGATTCCTGGGGTCCCCCTCAGGTTTCGACAAAAAATTTTTTTCGCCGTTCTATCAGAAGTCTTTCCAGTTCGATAGTGCTATGTGTGCTGATTACAAATGCCATATTATTTTTCAAAAGTACTCGGATAATAAGAAAGATCTGAAGTACTTTCTGGAAGCCGTAAAAACCAGTTTTTGATCTGAAAGCCCATCAAAATCCGAATTAAGCTAGTCGCAAATAGGCTCATTTGATAGAGAATTTCATTCTCTATCGAAGTCTATAAGAATGCCTTAGACATTCGAATTTTTTTCTATCGATAAATTCCAAATACCGCCCCAATCGGGTCATATTGACACAAATAATGTTTTTTCGAGTCTTTCGAAGTTATAGTTTTTCCGGGTGCACTAGCTTTATTTTCACACTGGATATGCAGTTCAATGTGTTCTTTCTGATGAGACCATTTTTAACTTGAAATTTGAAGTCTAATGAAGCACTTTTGCTCTAACTACAATACTTGATAGTAAATTTACCTCTTTTTTGACCAATATTCGGCGGTTTTCGAGAAGAAAGTAATTCGTTTGACTTATAAAAAAATCTCATATTTGAAATCAGCATAGAAAATTGAGTTGACTTATATACATTTCAAACTGTTTCTAGGACTTTTATTTTTCCGTCAATTGTCTCCCTGGTCCCTCTCAGCGATGAACGAAACAATTCACTTCATGAGAAAACGTTTCCGACAGTAGAAAAGCCATTCAGGACTTGTAAAATACTATTTTTAGAGAGAATCAGAGGTTTCTATATAATTAAATAGCTATTTTCATGAAGTTCATTTTTCATCCATCCCTGAGGGGATCAGGGGGAAAAATTGAGGAAAAAATGAAAGTCATAGAAACAGCTTGAAATGTATATGAATCGACTCAGTTTTTTTTGCTGACCTCAAACATGACACTTTTTAAAAATCAAATGAAGCACTTTCTGCTCGAAAACCGTCAAATACTAGTCAAAAAAGAGACAAATTGGCTATGTGAGAGCAAAAGTGCTTCACTAGACATTGAATTTCAAGTTGAAAATGATTTCACCAGAAAGGGCACATTTAATTGCATATTCAGTAACAAAATCAAGCTGGTATATACGGAAAAACTGTAACTTCGAAAGACTCGAAACTCCTTTTCTTGTTGAGGTCAATATTGATATTTAACAAAGGTTCTCACTAATCTTGTCCGTGTAGATTTGGAGTGTGAACATGCCTCTATCCTTGGTAAAAAAATGAGCCCGTTTGGTCGAGCTGCAATGGAAATATTCAACTTTTTCTTTATATAGTTACTTACTGGACACCCGATATATATACCTTGAGATGTTCCTAAAAAACCACCTGTATCCCCATACTTTCCACGAGTAAAAAAGTTTTAACTATTACCTCAGACCGTTTTCGACGACGTTTCGTCTAACTAGTCTATTAAAATTGAAAAAAAAGATTTTTTCCCGAAAGTGGTAGAAACCCGGCGGATTCACCCATATCTCATTTTTCTTTCATTGTTTTAGTTTAAGTTTACCAGAGAAGAAACGTCAGCGATCAAAGTAAAACGAATGGTACTTTAAAGTCTAGAATTGATTTTTGTTTCTTTATTGCTCTAGTTCATGTAAACATGCTCAATTGATGGATAAACGATTAAAAAGTTCTTCATCGCATGAAGATATAGAAATAACAATACCAAATGCAGCAACAAGAACGACATCATTTAATAATTTAAATTCACATAAAAATGATTGTTCTTCATTTATTAATGCAAATTAACATATTCCATCGTATACATTTGGAAGTTTTCATCAACATTTTTCTCTGTTCAATAATGCAATTGAGAACCAAGCAAACATTTCACTATACGATTCACAATTTTCTTCAATATCGTTTCGAGCAACAAGTACTCCTCTTCCAACATTAAACACGTCAACAACAAGAAGAGCAGCTAATATTATACGATCAGATTTGTCTCCAATCAAATATTTTAATCAAAAATCAAATAACCATATTATCATTTACAAGAAAGATGGTTTTGTTTCATGTGAAAATCGTCAAACATTTACAATTGAACATAATGATATTAATTTTAAAAAAGTAAATATTTCAAATGCAGAAGAAGACACAAATAATGATTTACCTGTTGATCCAAATGTATGGACAATTACTCAAGTTGGAAAATTTATTCGACACTTAACAAATGATATAGTTGCTCAAGTTTTTTTTAGCAAGTGATATTGATGGAAAAGCTTTTCTATTATTAACAAAAGATGATTTATTGTATGATATGAAAATAAAATTTGGTCCTGCAAAAAATATATTAAACGAAATAACAAATTTACGTAGACGTGTACAAACATTTTTTTGAATATTCGTTTTTTTATTTCATTTTATGCAAAACAGTTTTTTTTTGTTATTCTTATATTTATTATTTATTAATGTGCACATAAAAGACAAGATATGATAAAAAAATTAAAATCCTCAACTTATTTAAAATCGGTATTGAAATAGAAAATTTTAACAGGTTCACTTGCTGAAGGATTGAATGTGTATATTATTATTAGCTCAAGAGAAATGAATTATTAAATCAATAGATTATTTTTCATCATCACATCTCTTCAGGATTATGATTAGGAAAACTGATGTAAGCAAATCATAATGTATCGTAAAATATCCGCTAATGAGGGTGTGAGTGTGTATGATGATAAGATCTACACCATTGAATGAACATTTTTATATAATTTAAGCACGATCCATGGTGCTAGCTTGTGTCATGTGTTGCGTGCTTTTATAAATTCCACTTACATGTATTATGAAAATGCCTTTTCTCTGGATTCCAATGAAAAAATTCATGTCTAAATTTTTTTACGTTTTTCTTTTAAAACGTGGTTTTCAATCAGAAAGATGGAAATAACTTTCACCATGATCAAGCTATAAATTATATATATATATTTTTTTGTGTTTTAACCCTTTAACCGTTAAATTTTTTGAAACTAAATAATAAACTTATCGTCCAATAACTTTTGATGTACAGAAATGTAATTGATACGAAACATCAGAACGGTAGAGAGAGTAGCACTCAGTGCAGAGCGTTAGATTCAATACAGCATACAAACAATGCAGAGTTAAGACGTTGTAGTCTTCATGTTTTCCATCAAGGTCGCTTTGACGAGTATACTCGTCAATAACGGTTAAAGGGTTAAAGATCTCAATAAGAGTAAACTTTAGTATGATCAGATTTATTATAATTGATTTCTGCGTTGAGAAAAACAAGATTTAGTATCGTGAAGTGACATTTTTTTTGCTTATTTTAACAATATATGTACTAAAATGATCATCAAAAAAAATGAACGGAAGCGAATTTCAAAATTCTTTTTGATGGAAAACTGCGCACAGATATTGGCTTTAATTTGAACCACCCCAATTCTGTACCTGTTGCAGTGGCAAAGTTATAACGATTCTTCTAAAGACCATACGTGGACTATAAATAAGCCGGAAGTTTGGTCTGATTCAAAATATCAAACTGAAATGTTTATCGGAAGCTTTTCTCACTAGGATCAATCATTTCTGAAAATTTCAGTCCAAGAATCGTAAGAAGAGACTCCTTAAAATCAAATTACATGTAAGAATCAAATGTTGATCAATTATTGTTAACCATTTTTAGTTTTCTCCATGTCTTATAGCTTACTACTCATTAGAAATTGTATTAATCTACTAAATTTATGCTTTGCTTTTTAATATATAATCTATTTGAAATGAATTTTTTGAAAAATTTTAATTTAACATGATTTTTTTTTGTCGTATCTAATCGTTTGTTCTAGAAATACAATAAAATTATCTTTTAATAAATAAATATTATAAAATTATGGAAGACTAACGTTTACATTTGATTTTTATTCTTCTTTCAATATTTTTCATTGTTTTGTCTCCATTAATTATATTTCTTCTTATGTCATTTGATTGCATAATCATATTAAATACTATAAATAAGCTACAATATGAGAATACTTTATTTACAACATCCGCACTCACAAATCAATGCATTTAGATGAATTTATCTATTGAGATCCGTAAAAATGCAGGATCTTTAGCCTGATAAAGTCAGTTTATATAAACAGACCCGATGTGAAAATTATTATTTATGAACCACTCTGATGTTCACTCGGAAGGAAAATATCACTTTTTTTTACGAATTATAAAAAAAAAGTAGAGTTTTCTTAAAAATGTTATTTTTCGAGTATACAAAGCTAAACAAACAGAAGATATATGTTAAAGAGTAACATATAAATTTATTGTACTCAATTCTCATTCTTATTAAGAAGGTGCCTTATTTGTACAAACGTTAATATAATTTCATCCAATTGGTTTTTGAATATTTTTCATTATATTTTTATCTTAACCATATAAAAAACTACATGTACACTTATTTCAATAATAGATTTCATAAAAATTTAATGAGAAAAATATTTCCTAGTGATCTCATGACTAACAGTTTTGTCATTCTAATGCAAAGAAGTAGAAAATAAATTTGATAGATATATTATAGCATGTTGTCTAAGAACATATTTTCTTAATAATAATTTCAATTAATAATATTAGGTTTCTATGTATCAAAATTGAACTAAAAATTCATTTAAACTATCACAAGTAGCTAAAATCTTCTCTGTAGGAATAAATTCAACATAACAATCATAGGTATAAAAATACGTTCAACTTCTTGAATGAAAATGAAATTACAAAAAATAAACACGATCATTTTTACACATTAAAAATCTCGATCCTAAATCTATTCATTCAAAAGCTTTCACACATTACGAAGACATAATAATTTGTACTGTTTCTTCTTATTTTACTATTTTTTTTCTTAAAATTCTAAAGCATTTTTCTTGTTTATTTAATTGAATTATATAGTATTCGACAAATAAAAAATATCCAAAGTTCTCGATTACTCAAAACAACAGTCAAGCTATTGAGTTGATGCAACATTTTTTAGTTTGGAAACAGATATTAGTTGTTATTGATTTCGTCAGAAAAGTAACCAATGGTACATATCAAAATACACGTGGGTATGGGTGCATTTTTATCTTTCCAAATGCTCACAGCCACAGTCCTAGGGTGTGGGTGTAGGTATGTGGGTGTGGGTGTGGATGTGGGTGTGGGTGTGGGTGT